AGCATATGAAAAGTGAGTGAGGCAGCAACGGCTTGAGCATAGTATTATTAATGGGCAATATATCTGTTCTAGCCACCACTCCGCCGCGCAAAGCCGTGCCCACCATACCTGCTGCTATTGCGGAAATACCCCCACCTCCTACTAGCGCACCCAAATTATCGAACTCCAAGAAAATACGACGCATACGAGGCGGCGCTGTTAGCTCTGTGACGGCTAGTAAAACAATGCCCATGTCGCAGGTGAAGGCTCGATTGAATCGACAGACGCAGCAGGTGATGAGACGTGGCTATACGGAAATTGGTCCGAAAACCTTTACCAATCAGCGGCGCATTCGTGAGGTCTTGCTGCAAAAAACTGTGCTAGAGAATATGTTGTTACAGCACAAGAGATTGCAACGCGACAGGCAAACGATTGCGTTGGATATACAGCGAATGCGACAGGATCTCGATCGTATTAAAAACAAGCTTGATACATCGTTGCAAGCGCTGAACTCCACACGTACTCTTTACACGGGATTCACCAAACACAAAAAGAATGCGGCACTCACATCAGTGCCGTCGAAATCTATTCTTGAAGGTCCCGGCACGACTAGATCAACCGTAACCAAAACCAAACCCGTTGTCGCTAAACTCGGTACTGTGTCTGCTAAACGTCAGCATACGGGAGCAAAGCGGCGCAATCGCGTTTAGGTCTCTGAATATCCATTCTGATAAGTTAAAAAACAGCCGGTTGGCTTCCAGTGACAATTATTTCGAAACCAAAACTCAAGCCTAGCAATAAAAAAATTTTTATTGATATACAAAAGAAACAGTGAAATTCAAGTCTGCGGGTAAAATTGCGGCAGCCCTCGTTATTGTAGTTACTTATCGATATTTATGTATGAAAACTATCGATAATTAGTTTTCATGTCACTAAATAATGGCGTATCTCTTGTATGAAATTCAAATGAGCGGGAAAATGGCAGCCCTCGTAGATACTATACCAACATATGTCTATCGATATATTGTGTTGGAACTATCGATTCTTGGTCTTGACATCACTAAATCATGGCGTCTGTCTCGCCTACAACAGCCAAAAGTTTTGTTTTTTCGTTTATTTGGATAGATATTCATTTTGTTTTGCATAAAAAAATAGAGACCTGCATCAATTATGGGCTCGTCGAAAAAGCACAAAAAGAACAAATCGGAAAGACGGGAGAAGTATGAAGGTATGTCAGAACACAAAATGTTTATGTGCGGCGCGTGCTCGTAAAATAAAATGTAAAATATATATTTTAGAATATAGTCAGCATCAGGATCCGGCGCAGCTGCAACGTGGTTTGAAGTTAATATTGAAGGTCGGTTCCAACGCAACGCCCGAGTACAAAGCCAATTCACCACTCGATAGTCATGGCGGACCTCCAACTGCAGCAGAGGCAATGATGGCCGCTGCACCTGGAAGCCCACTACTAGCAATTTCCGAGGAGGTGGGCCATCGTGAGCGACATAAGAAATCGAAAAAGAAGAAGAAGAAGAAAGATCGTGAGAAGAAGCATAAGCATCATCACAAGGAGAAGCGACGCGAAAGGCAGCGCGAATTGTGCTCTGATGACGAGCGGCAAATAGATGATACAATTGGTCCAGATGAAGCAGTCTGCAGTGGTCGCCAGATGGCGATGGCGACCGCGCCGTCAGCTGTTGGCGATTGCTCACAGGATGGATTTAGTTTTATGGACGATGATGCGGAGGAGGAACAATCGCAACCGCTGCCAGAAAATATTTTATATTATGCAGGCATTACCACCGACAATTCGCCATCCAATTGCCCAGTTACCAAGCCTATAGCAGCACGTAAATTGGATGAAATGCTGCTCGGTTCGCCCACATGCTCGTCAAGTCCAACCAAGCCACTGCCCGATGTAAGACTAATAGCTTAATAGTTTAAGTTATATATAAATACAATTTTTTCTTTCCATACAGCTGCTGATACCTTCGCCATCAGGCTCCACGGCCTGCTCATTAAATGCCTTAACGCCCAAAGCGCTGGAGGCGCCCAAAACTCCCAGCAGCTGCAGTGAATCAGGCAGAGAACCAAGAAGTTGTGTGCTCAAACTAAAGCAGCAGAAATCGCCACTAAATAAGCTATTGGAGCATTTGCTACGCTTTCTTGAGAAACGAGATCCGCATCAGTTCTTTGCGTGGCCAGTAACGGATGACATTGCACCGGGTTACTCATCGATTATCCATAAGCCGATGGATTTTTCAACAATGCGACAAAAGATTGAGGATCATGAGTATGCGGCATTGAGTGAATTTAGCGATGACTTTCGTTTAATGTGCGAGAATGCAATCAAGTATAATCATGTGGATACCGTTTACCATAAAGCTGCTAAGCGTTTACTACAATTGGGTTTAAAGCATTTGCAGCCGGATAATTTAATGCGCACATTGAAACCTCTTTCTGGCTACATACGCGAATTGACGGCCAAAGAGTTGGGCTTCGAGTTAAGTTCCAATGAGCTAGCTGGTTATGATATGGCACACGATTCAGCGGATGAAGGCGCTTCAACTGGCGCAGAAGAACCTACACCCGCTCAATTGGAAGAAGAGGAACGAAAACGAGCCTTACGTTTAGAGAATGCACCTAAAACCCACTTCGAACCTTACGTAGATGACTTGACCAGCGAGGAGATACTTGCCCAGGTGCAGAACGCAGCGCAACAGGCAAAGCAGCGCATCAGTTCCAAAGAGCGTGCCCACAAAATGGGTTTCCTGCGACAGCACAAGGATGGAAGTACCACATTGAATCTTCTTATACGAGATGAGAATGAAGGACCGGAAAAGGTGGTCACCATTGGAGATTTGGTGGGTAAACTGCCCGCAGGCAGTGGACAGCTGCCTGGCCTACACACAGATCAGCGAAACGCAGTAAAGCCTGTGAAACCCATGAACTATGGACCCTTTGCCAGCTTTGCACCCACATTCGATTCTAGGTTTTCCACGTTAAGCGCTGATGAAACGCAATTGGTGCTGCGCACTTATGGCGATGCATCGAGTGCCGAATATGCTGAGAGCATATTGCAATTCACAAAGGATTCCAGCTATGCTACGAATATAGCCAACGGGCTTCTCGACATACTCACAAATGGAGAGCATAGCAAATCTCTGGACGAACTCTACAACATGCAGCTACATAACTATGAGCAGCGTGAGATTGAAAAATGTTTCAATAGAGAACACGAACAACCGGGTAGCAGTTCAGAAGCTGAACAAATTGAGCTAGAATATGAGAAGTATAGAAATACGCGTGTGGATTTCAAACGTTTGCGCTCGCTTAAGGAACTGGGGATTGACGTAGAATTCCTCGATGGCATGGAAACAGATATGAAGAACTATGAACTATCAAAACGTATGAGAGAGCATCTCAGCAATAATTTAACACTTATTGAGAAGCTGCGTGTTATACAGCAGGAGCGTCTATCGCAGCCCTTGCCTGCGCATTTAGCTATGGTGCCGCCCGCTGGGCAGGAAGAGTTGCAAACGGCACAGCAGCTGACGCAGCAGCTCAGCGAATTGGCCAAAAAATTGCCACCTGCAGCAATAGCTGATCAATATGCGCTACGCAAGGCTATGGGCATGTCTTTCGGTATGTATATATTCTTTCGATTAAATATCCTAATTGTTTTACTTATCCAGTCATATTTTTGCTTTGCAGCTGGTTTGCCTCCGCCTCCGAGTGCCTCACCGCGAGTTCCGCTCCCGGAGCTGCTTCAGCAACCCATTGCGCTGCCCCAAATTCAGTCCATGGACATTGAGGAGCCGGATGTGCACGCTGGGGGTGATCTGGAGAACGAGTTGCGAGAATTCCTTGAAAGTGGGTCCGGCATGCATGCATCCAACGCAGCGGATGATAACAATATTGTTGCCCAGCTGTTGCTCAACTAACATCTATGATCTTTGTGGCCACCTACACCGCGCGCAATGTTAATAATTTTAGATTAACAACCTACACTAAATTATTTTCATAATTCACAAAACTTGCTATAGCATTTTCAATAAAAGGTAACATAATTTAAATAACAAAGTGGATTTTTTTTGAAGCGCTTAAACTTGCTTGAATTCAAATGAACTAGTTCGATTAGCGATATATAAGGGATTCTGGGTCGACTTGTAACAATAATTGTTTTGTAGTACTATAACGATTTTATTTAATTCGAATTTTAATTTGTGTACTTAGAGGAATTAGTACAAAACACTTTTATATGCAAAATTGAGAAATACAAATATTAGTTATTCTTTATTGTACTTCATGATCAAGAGCTTTGTACAATATTCAAGTTAAGTGTAGTTAGGTTTATATAGATGTTAAGTAAACTGTAGATTAGTTAGATGGGATTTATTTATCCTTATGAATACAATTTCAATTGATTTTTAAGTACACCTTTTAAGTATACACATCTTACAAAAATGTTGCAAAATTTCAATTAACTACTGGGCGTTGCCTAAGTGATTTAATCATTTAAAGGCAAATTCTTGAGAGACTTGTTTCATTAATTTACATATAGTTTAAGTACGTGATACAATTGCCAAATGGACGTGATTTTCGGTAGTTTTTCCTTTTTTTTTTTGTAACAAGTAAACTGGTATAGAAAAATAAATCCATAAAGATAATTATGCAATTACATATATACACACACATAAAACGAACCTATGTAAGTACCATACAAATACGTACACATAATATATATATGCATATAAACATATAACGGTACATTGTAAACGAAATGTACCAAAAAAAGAAAATCCTGTCAACTGGTCGACTTAAGCTAATGAACATTTTTATGGTATTTACTAAATTGCAGGCACACGCGCATTTCAGCTGTTCTTGTTGTTGGTTTTTTCTATAGTTGTTATTGTTGTAATTATTGAGGTAGAACACCTTTAACGGTTTAAGTAGCTAGTTACCAGTGTTTCCATATTAGTTAAAAGCTATCGTTAAATTGCCGCCTAACTAGTTCTAGTTCGCTTAGTTCTTTTTTTTTGTTTTAAATATTTAGTTTTTTGGGCACATTTTTTTATGAGTTTCGGTCGGTGTATTTATGTTGGTACAAAAACTAAACAAGGTTTGCATCCTTGGCCATACTGTAGAATGCCGAATTTGGATTGCTCAACAGTTCGTTGGGCGACGCAAACTCCGTTATTTGACCCTTGTCCAGGACAATAACCTTATCTGAGTCCAGAATTGTGTTCAAACGATGGGCAATGGTGAGCACGGTGCATTCCTTGAATTCGCTTCGAATGGTTTTCTGCAAAAAATAACATAAGATGTTAAGCCACAATTTAAAATGGAAGTTAACATGTGATTGACATGTTAAGTTACAGTTCTGCATGTAAGCTATCAGAATGAAGATTGTTTCAGCTATTAATTAACAGCATGCACGATTGGCATATGTATGTTATGTTAGCTTCCAGTGTGAAGCCCAGCATACCTGAATAAGATCGTCCGTTTCCAAATCCACAGCAGCTGTTGCTTCATCCAATACGAGGACCTTTGTCTTACGCAGCAAGGCACGCGCTAAGCATACCAATTGACGTTGTCCCACGGACAAATTTTCGCCACCTTCGCTAATTTCGTGATTAAGGCCGGCTGCCAGACTCTTGGCAAAGGTCTTCAAATGCGACAGCTCCAATGCCTTCCAAATCTCATCGTCGGTCTTGATCTCAAACGGATCGAGATTCGAACGCAGCGAGCCTGAGAAGAGAACTGGATCCTGCGGTATGATCGTTAGACGTGATCGCAACATGTGCAGACCCATCGTTGCAATGTCAATGCCATCGATCATGATTTTGCCGCCAGCTGATTCGATAATTCTGCAAACGGAAAAAATTATGTTAGATATTATGTTAACAAAACAGGGTCTTCGCTATTTGCATGTGTTACGTTAATTCAATGCAACTGTTATTAACATGACAGACTTGATTCTTGGACTCACCTGAACAAAGCAAGCGTCAAACTGGATTTACCAGCGCCAGTTCGACCCACAATTCCAACTTTCTCGCCGCCAGATATGTTGAAGGTAACGCCGCGTAGCACCAGATCCAGACCCTCGCGATAGCGCACCTGAAAGTCTTTGAACTCGACACGTCCGCCCTCTGGCCAGTTTTTGGGACGCTGTTTGTCCGATTCGAGCACCCAGGGTGCTTCCTGCTTGGTTTCGCCATACTCCTTGATACGCTCCACGGACACGATGTTCGTCTCAATGTCCGAGGACATCCGAACCAGCCAGTTAAGTGTTTGCGTCACCTGCAGCGCATAGCTGACCGACAGACCAACCAGGCCGGGATTCGTTTGGCCACCCAACACGGCAAACAGCGAGGCGAACAGAATGATCAGGTTTCCAACCATTTCCAGGCGCACGGCAAGCCAACGATTGGCGATCAGCGATGGATATTTGCACACCTGATTCTTGTCCACCTTTTCGTCCGATTCCTCAATGAAGCTGTTAATGCGAACGTTATCGAGCGTCATTTACGACTATAATTTGAGATTTTTCTTACCGCTCCTCGACCGCGTAGGCGCGTATCGTGGAAACTCCAGTGACAGTTTCACCGAAATGCGAATAGATCGGCGAACGGGAAACGGACTCCAAACGCATCAACTGGCGCGATGTGGCGACATAGAAGCGTTGCGCGAAATAGTACACAAAGGCAATGGGCACAATGACAGCCAAGAAGATGGGCGTCGATATGCTAATAACCACAATTGTGGCCAAAACCTATGTCAAATATGGCAAACTGTTATTAAAAAGAACTCTCACAGAGGTTTCTATCGGGGTGCAGTTGGTGTTAGTTAGAAAATAAAATGATAGGAAACTGAAATTATGTTATTAAATTGATATACGATTCGAATTCGATACGATCCAATTGCATGCTGGAATGCCCCAAACGCCGTTTACTTGATTTGAGTCTCGTATTCTAGCTACAAATTATTCATATCACATCCTGCAACTGTTTCGACACTCTAGATTTAAATGTTTTCAAAAATGTTAACACTCCTGTTAACGTTAACATTATGCTCCGGATATGAGACTATGCTAGTCTAGGAACATATGGAAACGAAACACTGCAAGTTAATTTTTCGCCTATGCAGCAAGGCCAATCAAAGTCGAGTTAGAGGATGCGAGAGTTTCTAGAGAAAGTGAACAGATTTGGCAGTTTCCTTTTTAATATTTCTGAAATATTTTAAGTATTCTAAAAATATATATTTATTTAAACAAATGTGTTTACTTAAATTCTCAATTAGTTAGTGTGTGCAGTTAATAATTGTTGGCTATTACCTCGAATGATAGCCCAACACAATTGTTTACTAAGAGCGGCACCACGAATTCAATGACTTGAAGATCTTTCGAGAATCTAGTTAGGATACGACCCACCGGTGTCATATCAAAGAAATATAAAGGTGCATAAAGGATGTGTCGCAGGACATGGTCATGCAATAGCTGCGCAGCACGAATCCCTCCAAGCACCGGAAACAACGACGTAATTGACGATAAGATACCTTAAAGAATTCAATTTAGTTGAGATTGTCAAAAGAGAACAGTGTTGTAAAAGAACTGAAGAAATGCATGTACAGTGCTCCACAAAATACAGTTTTGTGTCAATGTGAAAACGTGGCTTAATCACAGTTGGTTTTGCAAGATTGTGTTTAGAAAGATGGGAACATGAACTATGCTATTTATAGGAATAATAGATCGTGACGTAGATTTCTATAACTTCTTCTAGAAGCTATTAACTATACATATCAGAACAATAGAGTATAGATAGAAATACTTTAGATATATAATTGTTATATATGTTGAAAATCATTGATAGAAATTTTCCACATTTTACTTCTATTAAATTTGGAAAATGGACTTTGATATTTTAAGAATATTTATATATATTTTTCAACTTCTTATTCTGCTTCTTGTTTCGGTTACCTCAAAGAGCAGCCACACAAAATTGATTATTAGCTGTGGCAATAGCTGATCGAGCGTGTCAATATCTTTGGAGAATCGGGACATAATGCGACCCACCGGCGTGGTATCGAAGTATCTCAGCGGTGCGGCCACCACATGATGCAAAAGGAACGCGTGTAGCAACTTAGAAGCACGCAAGCCACCGATTGCGGGCACCACAATCCTTACGACGGATAAAAAACCTGAAGATTGAAGACATTTGTTTTGTTTTGGAGTGTTTTCTTTAAAGATCTTTTTTGTTTAGATCGAAGTGCGATTACTACAGCAGTTAATTTGCATTTCATGCTTTTGCAGTCAATCATTATTAGAGTCTCAAACCAAAGCGACAATAGATTTTGGATTAGTTTTTCATATAAATTAGTTAAAGTGCGGAGGTATAGGATTTTTAGAATGATATCAGGGGAGGGGTTTATACGTTTTTTTTTAATTTCTTTTCACTAAACACAAAAGCAATTACAGTAGAGCCTCTCTAAAATGAATATTTGCCAATGTGATTTGTAAATTTTAAGTACATTTAAATTTAAAACAAAGTAATCCAATTTAGATTTTAAATATATAAATAAAAAATAACTTATTTTTTTTTTGTAATTTCATTTAAATAAAATTGTTTGTTGCAAATCGAATATTTATCGAAACTAGCACTTAGAAGGCTGTACTGTACTTTTGTTCTACTAATATTGTTGTTTCTTGTAGCAAATTGTGACCCCAGCTAGTGTTGGGTAATGCTCCAATTAGAAATTACCTCAAATGCACACCAAATACAATCGGTCAAGACCTCCACAATTTTCTGATCGACCGTTTCAATGTCTTTCGAGAAACGAGACATAATGCGACCCACTGGCGTGGTATCGTTGAACCACATAGGTACACGCAGCATACGGTAGAGCATGAGCGAGTGTAGCACCTGGGCAGCGTGCAAGCAACCCAGCTGAATGCCCAAATCCGATAGGAACGAGGCGAAACCTGCGGTATGTCAATCAATGCATCAAGTATCGAAACAGTATTTAAATTTTAGACAGCATAGAGACTAATAGAAAGAAAAATAACAAAGCATGCCCGCTCGAAACACTAGATATAGATATATGATATATGGCTTGTTGAACGGTCTACAGGTTGAGTTAGGGAAAAGTGATGTTAGTTTTAACTGTTTTGATGTTAGTCACGAGCACAATTAGTTGGACAACATACCCGAAACGCTTGCGAGTTAAGTACACGAAATATTTCAGGCAATACCATATCCAATTTGTAAACATCACTGGACAGCCGATCGAGTATCCGACCCCTCGGCTGTCTATCGAAAAAGGATTGAGGAGCGCCCAGAATTCGACTAAATAATTGGCAAAACAGTTTCTGTGCACCATGCAGGCCGCCAATATAGACGATAAGTACGCTGGCTATAAAGCTAATTACTGCAATTTAGTGGAGGAAAAGGTTAGGAGTTGGAGACAGCAACACATTTGGGTTTACAAAACGAATCAACTTTTTTTTTTTAGTTTTAACAGAGGAGTAAGTAGAGATTTAGTGTTATTGCTGATACGCTTAGAGTTTTGGACAGTACGTAGTATGTGAAAGAGATATGGAAGGTTGTAGTAGAGAGAGAAGAAGAGAGAAAATGGTGCAATAGTACCTAAGTCCATATAAAAGACAATGATAAAAAGGAAGACTTCGTTTTTTTAGATGTTAATAAAGAATGTGAAGAAAATTAGAATATATGTCAAAGTTTAATATAAAAGCTTCAAAACTTATGGAAAAAGGTAGGCTAGCAGCCAAGACCTTTCATACAAATCAAGAATATATATATAAAGACTTACAAATGATTTCTGCGCTATCTTTTACAAGTTCGATTGATTTGTTCTCAAAAATGAGCTAGTCAAGTCTTACTGAGTTCAGTGAACCGAACAGCTTAGTCCTCATATAAGTTATATGTGAGCTAACAAACGATTCAGTTTGTTCCAACATTTCGTTCTATTGAACTAGCTGTTGATCATAAACAATTAAGAAACTCCCAATAAGAACTAATTACTAATAAGTAAAATAGAGAAAATAGTTCAAAAGAACTATAGAACCAACATTGGTTCAATTTGCGTTCATTCCTTTTTTGTGCATTCAACAAAATGGGGAGAAATCATTAAATATAAAAAACAAAAACCAAGAAACTTAGTTAAATAAAACACTGCAAAACCTACTGAAAAGTAAGTGAGAAAAGCAGGGGCTTTGCTTGGAGAGTGGAGTGAAGGGGTTTACCTGAAACGCTGTGCTCAGACACATGCGTATATTTAGGGGCATGACCAGATCCAGGCAGTTGATATCGTTCGAACAGCGATCCAAGATACGCCCCTTGGGCGTCGTATCGAAAAACTCAGATGGGCAATGCATGAGGTTATTAAAGAGTTGTCGAAACATATTGAATGAGGCGTTTAGAGTGGATGTGAAGAGTGTGATGGCGGCGCCGTAATTGCAAAGACCTACGTGGATATATGATATGTGATAGATAGCGTTATAGAGAATCAGAGAAACAGATTTTTGTGTAAGAGTCTTAAGTTCTAGAAACTAGATGTAGTTCGTAAGTACAAACCGTAACACAAAAATGTGGGCTACAAAAATAATTCAAAAGAAAACTCACGCGCAAAACAGGAAAATTGCAGAAATAAAGAAAATTAATTATAATAATACCATAAATATAAAGCTCATGAAAGAGTCCAAGGTGCCGGGCAATTCTTCGTCGATAACATCCATATCGGCGCTAAAACTGTTTAAGATGCGCCCCAGGGGCGTTACATCGAAAAAGCGACATACCGATCCGTGGATCACCTGGTTGAGGAATTTATTATGCAATATTTTGGCAGCTCGGAGGCAACCGCAGTAGATAATCACGACCGCAATGTAGCTAAACACACCTAGGGAACGGCAGGGAATGCAACGCAGAGACGCGCAACATTTATCGATAAACATTAGTTGGCATTAACAGTAGGTGAATGTCATGCGAATCAAAATGGGCGCGTTTATCACTTAGAATATATCTCCCATGAGCCCACACTCAAACCAGGTTCTCCCCCTATAAGCCATAGCTTCCAAAACACTATTATCGATATTAATCGGCTTTGGTAATCGCCAGCGTTATTGGCTCTGACACAGGCGCGTTGCAGAGTGGTTATTTGTTATTGGATGAGTCTTTAAAGTAGCTTCTAAATAAGCAAAATATACAACGGGGAGCGACCACAACTATATGATCGATATTAATCGGCTGTGTAACCGCTGAAGCTCTGAGACAAGCGAGTCTCAGAGTGTTGTTGTTTTTGTTGTTATTGTTGGATGAGTCTTTTTACTAAAATAATACAGTTTAATACAAAGCAAAAGCGCGAACTTAACAAAAAATTAAGTTTTTAACTCAAATCAAGTAAATGGATTTCAGATTCCAATGAATATGAGAGATATGTATGGATATTATTTGTATAGAGCTAAAAAACTTGAAGCAGACGGTTAGAAAGGAAAGAAGTCGTGAAAGGTGTTGGTTTGGTTTAGTCTTAAAATATGTGTTTACCGAATAGCAGGTGGATAGAAATTGTGATACTATTTGTGGCATTACATTGTCCACGGTATCAATGTCCTTCGCAAAGCGACTTAGTATACGACCCAATGGCGTCGTATCAAATAATTCCATTGGCCATTTGAGCACCATGTTTATCAGTTTGTTAAACACCTCCAGGGAACAGTGCAGGCCACCCAGGGCCAGGGCAAGGCCCGACAAATATCGTGACAAAACTGCGTATCGAACGTAAAGTTAATCGATAACACTATCTAACTTAAAATCGATAATAAATAAATATACACATTTTATATAATTAGGAAGGGAGCCATGCTGTGCATGCAGTTTCTAAACTAGATCAAGTAGGATATCCAATTAATATATATATATATATATACACATATATACAGATTACAGGGCCCGTTAGTTAGCTTAGTTATATAGACAGATTTCGAATTACATGGAGCTTATTAGTTGCACTGGACACAGGTTGGAGATGGTGCATGGATTTCAAAGTCGTATTGGGGGTTTTTAACACTAGTATATCTACTCTCTATTGGTTTATTTGAAATGAAGAGTGTGAGCTATGTCTACACTTATTGTTAATAGATTTCCCAAACTCAAATTACAGACTAAGAAATTCTTGTAATACAAAAGTTACTGGTAATGAGACCTTAGCTCAGAATACAATAGATCTGCTAGGCATGGTTAGACTGAAGTGAAAATTCTGAGTGTCCATTTGAAATAAGAAAAGCAAAGAAAACTCAGCTACATTTCCCCTCTTTGAAAACCCCAAAAAAGTACAGTTGTGTTTGATTGTATTTTTGTTGTGTGTGGCGTGTGATCAAGAACATTTACCGCACTTGTACAAAACAGCGCAATTCGCCAGAGCATTGGCATTGTGACATCGACCACATTAATATCTTTCGAGAAACGATTCAATAAGCTGCCTCGGGTGGTTATTTCAAATTTGCTCATGGGCCAACGAATAACGCCATGCAGGAGTATCGCATGCAGTATCGTGGCAGCTCGCATGCAACCAACCGCCAATATAAGGCAGGACCCAACAAATGCAAGAACTAAGGTCATGAGATGATGATTAAAAAGTGTAATTAACTCAGTCAAGTCAATTGCGAAAAGCGTGTGTGTATAAGCACAAAAAGCAGCTGATAAGCTTTCTAATAATGCCTGCCTAATGACTAGATAGCTCAGAGGAAACCTCCTAACATCGACTCCTGCAAGACGTGATCTTAACTATAGGCACTAGAACTGATATATGACCATGGAAGATTATGAACAAGATAAGATGAATGAGAGAAGAATGGGAATGAAAGAGAAATGATAATGATATGCCTAACGAAAAGTGAGAGATTGAGTGTGCAGAATAGGGAATTACCGCAAAGAGTTGCATAACTGCGACACGCAGATTGAGAGGTAGGGTGTTATCACAGGTATCGACATCCTTGGAAAACCGGTTAACAACGCGACCAATAGGTGTTATATCAAACATTTCCATGGGCCAACGCAGAACGAATTCCACAAGTTTATTGTGCAAGTATTCAGCGCTATAAATGCAGCCCAGCGATAGGGCGAGGGTCGAGAGGAAACTAGTCAAAACTACATTTGGGTAAGAAGATCAGACAGATCAATTACAACTACACCAAAGACAATAAAAAAAAGGAAAAAGAAACAATAGCAATGACAAAGGCGTGTGCTGAACTATATATGACATGTCAACAAATATACATGAAAGAATCTGATGTGGAATATGTCGTTAGATTCGATACCTATGGAGCGTATGTGCGCGAGGTATAGTAAAGTCGTTGGTTAGTTAGAGGTAGAATCGTCAGTCTATCGAAAAGTGTTTACCATGTAAGCCTGTGAGAGAACGGCACGCATAGTAAATGGTAGTGCGTTATCGATGGTATCGATATCTTTTGAAAATCGATTAACAATGCGTCCCAGTGGCGTCGTGTCAAATAGCTCCATCGGCCAACGCAAATTAGCATGCAATAGAACGTTATGCATGATGCGCGAACATTGAAGACCGGCCAATGAGCCAGAGAGTGATGCGAAATATGTCGATCCGACTATAAATTTTGGTACAGAAGGTCACGTGTTTTTTTTTTTTTGGCAAAGGAAAATAGAATTACGAACACAAAGCAATTAGGTTTTGAAATATAAATACTTTTAGAAAATAAAATGCACACAGACATTCCCGACAAAGGAACTTGTTAAGACAGTTTTTTTTTAATCACATTTTAATATTAGGCATGCTCTGAATTGAGTTTGAAACTCGGGATAAACTGATTGATTGAATGATATCTGATATCTGATACAGTAAAATTTGAACTTCTTTTAATTTGAAACTTTTGTACCGCGAAAGTCGCTATAGATTTACAAAACTATTTAATTTGAGCGTTTTAAAATAATTTGCCCTAACGAAAATTTAAGCAGATATCGAAAACACTACATAAAGAACTAGTTATCGATAAGTAAACTGTTCTTCCCATTCATTTCATGCCTAATTGAACAAATTGTGCTGTATAAGCTACAGGCTTAAAGCGTGTGAATTTAGCAAATGTGAGTAAATTAGAGTGTGTTAAGGTATTAAATAGGCTGCATATATACATATATCTCGTGTGTATTTGTAGAAATGATTTGTAGCTTGTTCGTCAGAGTAAAGAGATAATGAATTGTTTGCGCGTGGCACACAGACTTTTGAGGCATGAATTAGCGGGCAAACATAAAAAGCAAAACATAAAATAAACAGAAACTTATACTATAACCAAATACCATAATTGAAATTAGAAATGCTGATAAAAGATCAGATAATATCACTGATAACAGCTACAATGTTTCATTCTTAATGGCTCATAATGACGCAGAGCTTTTTTAAGCAAAGTCTCATTCCATCTGTGACAATTGTACGATATACAATACTATAAATTTAGTGTTCTATTTTATGTTTCAATAAAAATATATGGGAGCTTTTAGTTTAATATATACACAAAATTGAGTGTTCCATTCCAATCGTTTCAAAAAAAATTGACATTTTTCTAACAGTTCTTTGTGTCACATGTCTTCAAAATTTCTGTAAAGCAATTAACGTGTTTCATTCCACTCGTTTCACTTAAAATGTGCTGCGATATTATCTGATTTTTCATCACCATTGATAATTAATAAAATCAATTAACATATAATAAACATATAACGGAAATGAAACGATAGCGATAACGATAACATAAAAGCAACATAAATGCCACAAAACATATAGATAAGAATAAGAACTGAATCACAGCGAACTCACCTTGACCGAAACCGAAGGCACCATAGACACCCAAATACATGTTCCTTTTGCCCGTATCATGTTCCACTTCCTTATCGTTGGACCATTGGGTGAGCCACAGATTCGAACCGATTTGGAATGCTTGGAACACAAAGTTGAGCACCAAAGTGGCGACCGATAAAAAGATGCCAACGCTCTTGATATAATGCTTATAGACACTGAAATCAACGCCGCCTGTTTGCGATTTCTCCGTCTCAATCAGTTTGCCCTCGTTTTCTTGTTTCTTTTTCAACGAGGCAGCGGAGGCAGCTGAGTCGTAGGAATTCTGACGCATCTTACGACGACGCAAACTGCCGCCCATCAAACTGTCGGCAGATGTGACGGAGCTAAAGAGCAAAAAAAAATATGGAATAAAATATAAATTAAATATGAAATTGAAAATTGATTAATAAATGTATCGAGCTTACATTGAATCTGAGAGGCTTTCGGTGCGAGCGAGTAGTATGGCCTTTTCGAATGGGGCAACCAAAGCGGGATCAGTTTGTGACAGCTGTCGTTTAATTTGATCAATTTCCTCCTCCTCCGCTTCACCCTCCTGCAGATGCTGCATTAGGAAGTCAGCAAAGGCGCCACGATTCCTTAGCAATTCACTATAAGTGCCACTCTCACTAATCTCGCCCAATTTCATCACATAGATATTATCGGCCTGTGGTAGGAACGTAATGCCATGGGTGACAAGGATGCGTGTCTTTTTCGCCAACATGCCTTTCGGTCCGATCACCTCCTCAAAGATGTGTTTGCCTACATGCGCATCCACAGCACTTAGCGGATCATCCAATAAATATATATCCGCATTACTGTATACAGCGCGTGCCAAGGAGATGCGTTGCTTTTGACCGCCGGACAGATTGATGCCCTTCTCACCGATCTCAGTGCGATCGCCGGCAGAGAGGATTTCAATATCAGTGCGCAGAGCACACGCGTCTATCACTTGATTATAGCGTTTGCGATCGTACGATTTGCCAAACAATATATTATCACGTACGGTCGCATTCTGGATCCATGCCTGCTGTGGCACATAAGCCATTTTGCCCACCGTGTTGACCGTGCCCGAGATCTTTTCCATTTCGCCAAGGAATGCTTGGATGACCGAGGACTTACCGGAACCAACAGTGCCAACAATGGCAACCAGATTATGTTTACGCACCTCCATATTTATATTCTTGAGCGTCATCTCGTCCTCGTCGCCCCAAGAGAAGTGGCCGTTCTCAATGCTCATGGGATGGGCTACAAAATAAATATATATATATATATATATATATATATATATATGAACATTTTATACTTAAACTTTATTTGTTATCTACTCACGCTTTGAGGAATCATGCTGCACATTGTCTGGGTCCAACTCTTCACTGTTCAGGAATTTGTTTATACGTTGTACAGAAACTTGCGTCTATGCAAAGAGGAAATCGGTTAGATTATTTTATCCTTATATAACACTAGCTAACACACAGGTATAATTAGTATTAAGTTCTTGGATGGGGTGTACGGAAAGGTTTGGGGGAAGCTCTTGTCTATGAAACTAGACTTATAAACTCGGGCTGCCGGAATTTTGGTACCCTTGCAGAGCTAGGGGCATTTTATGAATGATTTTTTAACTTTAAAGGAATTACTATATTAAAGGCCCACATAAAGACGAATTTCTAGTCCTCAGGTTGCATGTACCTATATCAAACACGACACTTATCAAAATTGAGAGGAATCGGAAAAACGTTTAAAATGTTTTTAAGAAAAAATTGAAATAAAAAGGTTTCTCAAAAAATACCCTCTGCAAGGGTATAAGTATTGAATTTTTAAAGCAAATGAAGATGCTATGAAAATAGGAATAGAATAGAATAGCATATGAATTGCCCCACTAAAAATGTCAATAATTTTTTCATAGCAAAGGACACTTGAATGATGTATCTAAAAACCACTTAAGAAACCATCAAAAATACATTACAAATTTTTAAGAACCCATTAAAAACACCTTTAAAATGGTTAAAAAAAAAAAAATAAAAAGATTTGTTAATTTTCGAAACATGAACTATGTTTTTTACATCATCAACTAGTTTACTACGTTCAGCAGTTCATGTTAAATCTTAGAAATGTTATGAAAGTTATTCAGTTGGCAGCTTTGAAGCTCAATGGAACGTATTTTTCTTTGAACAAAGTGCATCTTTCACAAAAAAGAGAAGAATTAAACCGGAAGTAACGACGAACGATTTAAAGATTATTTTTTAGTGCGAGGTTAGGTTTGGTTAGGATTATACAGTTGTCTTTGCTGCAGCTAAATAATAAATAAAAATTATAATAATCATAAATAATATAGTTGAGTAATAATTGACACATCACAATACGGCACAAAAGTACAATTGAAAAAATAAATTGTACCAATATATTTTCCCAATTACATCTCGATTTATATGTAAGTAAACGTATATACATATATACCATGATGGACAACCATGACATAGATATATATCAGTTAGCTTTCATATGAAATCAAGTTGTAAATTGGGAAAACTATTCCATTTGCAATAAGGTTAACTTACTTGCACCAAGTTGGTGATCAGCATGGGCAACATGGTTAGCGGAAAACGAAGGATGTTGAATAATGATAATGAGACAAAGGTTTTTTTCGCATCGAGCACATTATTCTCATCGACTAGAACGTATGTGGCAAATGTGACTAATGACACCTAGAATATACAGTAATTATATAGTAATACGATATTGGATTATACATTTTAGTTTTCTTTTGAAACCCAGTCTTTCAGTGCTGATAGATGCCCATAGCCGAAGTAAATGATTTTCGAATTATATATATTAGATTTCCAATATCCAGTCCAATTTCCTTTGGCTTTACCTCGGCTATGTCTACCATCAGCATGGGCATCACGCTTAAAGGCAGCTTCATGATGTCGAACAGTGAAAGGCTGACAAAGACTTTTGAGACGCTCAGCTGATTCGCCTCGTTGGACAACACGTAAGTGGCGAATGTCACCAAGGATACCTTATTGTTTTTTTTATTTTTTTTTTTTTTTAACAATTTAAATGATAGATACAGATGCCTCGATTAAAGTCCATCAAGTCATGTGCTGAAAAGAGAATTCAAAGTGTGGCCAATCGTTTAGCCATAGCTTACCAAGAAAGGAGCACAAGACCAAAGGAAGGATGTGCTTGCATTCAGATAAGCCGTAGCTCGTAGGGTAGCTATTTCCTTATCACGTATATCCAGTACCTGCTTCTCAAAGCTGGGCTCCCAGGCGTAAAGCTTGAGCACCTATAGACGTTTCGGATATTATGAGATTTCATAGATATTTTAGGTATACTCCACTAACCTTTATGCCGCTCAAGACTTCATTCATTAGTTTAACACGCTCGTCCTTATACTTCATTTGCCTGATTTGATAAGTTTTAATACGACTTGCTATAAATCCATTAAGAGGTATCATAATGATCATCACAGCGAGGCCGGCTAGCACAGACGGACCCAATTGTTGCCACAAGAAATACAGAGCCAAAGCAATTTGCAATGGAGCAGACCATAACATATTCAAATACGTTGTCAAATCCATAAAACGTTGCGCATCCACAGCCATTAGATTAACAATTTCACCAACCGTTGACGATTTACGTGCCGCATTCGAAATGCGCAAAGCCTTGCGATAAATGCAATTGATTAAGGCTGTGCGAATACGCAAGCCAACAATAAACATCCGATGGAAATATTGAGCGAGTATAAAAGTCTGTGCACTAGCCAGCACAAAGAGTAGAATCGAATACATAATGCCTTTCCATTCCGGTTGAGGTGCCTTCTGGTAGTCCTCCACATAGCCAATGATCAAACTCAAGACCTGTGGCTGAGCGAAGGTTAATATATCGGTGATAAGCTTGAAAAATGAGCCAAAGAGAAAAATGCCGCCAAAGGATTTGTATATGGGTGGCATAATGCTAGCCATGCCCTTCTTCTTGCCATTCTTTTGTGGATTCTCAAAGGAGACTTTGCCGTTGCTAAACTGCGCTTTCGTCTCCTGTCCGACAGCCATGCGACGATAATTTTTGCGCACATTCTTGTTCCAGTAATAGGCAAAGGTGGGCATAACCTCTTTACAGCTATCCTGTGGACGTAGATCCCACAGATCTTTCTCCTCCAAGGGATTGCGATAGCCTTTCAAAGCCATCTTATCGAACCAGCTGTACGTGATGCGTGAAAGGAAGCTTGCAGAGAGTTCGGGAATCTCCTTAGGTCCTCGCTTATATTTCGTTTGCCTGGGCAATTGATCGGCAAAGCAATTAAATATAAGCATAAAAACGGTGAAGGTAAAGAAGATGAAGAAGCTGCAAAATTGGTATGTCTCCCAGGAGAAATCATGTGGCGTTGCTTCCTGTGAATTAATTATATCTCTTCGTTCCTGGTGCATTCGGGCTTCGGTGCGACAGCGCGGTATGGAAAAAATTACCATGAGTAACCAGAAGAGAAATTGGCAGCCAGATGTTTGCACGCCATATTTGCGATTGAGGGGTATAAAAATCAATAGTATAGCCTGCAAATAATAGATGAACATCCATTAATGTAAAATCGAACTGAGCTCTAATTCACACTTTTTCTTACGAAAGTTGCCAATTTAATAATGGGAGTCCATATATCAACGGCATAGATTGGTATATTCGATTCGCCTTTCTTGACAAACGCCATGATTAAATCCAAAGCGGTGATTACAATTAGACCAACATTGAACAACACTTTGCCTATGCTCAATTTATTCCAGGGTATATTCCTATCCAAACTTGCTTTCAAATACCAAAAATCGATGAGAATAAACAGCCAAAGAAAAGCACAGGGTGTCCAAACTAACACCGTTTGTTCAAAACAGGGTGTAAAATCGGGATCAGTTGTCCACCATGTCTGATTGGCATCCTGTGAGAAGAAGGAAAGTTGTATTATTAAGTAATAAATATATTTATATTTTGCTTGCACTCACCCAAAATGTGGAGCCACAAAACTCGTCCATGGGCGTATTTTCTCCCATGGTCGCGCTTTGGCTTTTAAATTTTTCTCTAGGCACTCCTCCACGTGCGAGTCTTTCAGCGTAACGCAACTGTAAAACATGAAAGATGAAGAAAAAAATATTGTACTACCGCAGAAACAGCTGGTCTATTTCACAAAACAAAAACAATACTAAAACGATAACGATTAAATTTCTAGATGGTACTACGCCTAATGTTGCCAGCTTATCTATTTATACGTTAGAGGTAGCATTTTCGAAATTTTAAAACATGAGCAAAATTAGCTTAGTCCATTGCAGTTGGCTGCAATAAATTTATTTATGCCTAACAATTTTTGATGACTAATATATATTAAAATCAAGATAAGAAAATTATTGAAAGTTAAAGCTTGTAAGATAGTTGCCAATAATAGATTAACTTTAATTTTGATAATAAAAGCATATTTGTCATATATTTGTCGATTGACTTCATCACATTTATTATATAAACTTATATTATCTACGTTGGGGTCAGTCATATTTGTAATATTTCATATGCAGCCCAATAACTTAAATTAATTTTACCAAGCAGCATCAAGTGTTGTCGTGCCAGCAGTTTTTTTATTTTATGTTCATCGCGACTCTTTCATCGATATTTGACCTGACAGCACTTCACAGCACTAATTTTGTTATCGGAATTATCGCTTAGCAACCTGACAGCAATTAGCAAAAAAAAAAAAAAACAAAACCAAAAACTGTCTGTCACAAAAATAAAATAGTCGGAAATAACATGCAAATGGTATTAAATTTATAAAAATAAAGTAAAGTTGTTATATAAAACAAAAGAGTAAGCATGTCGGGTCATAACAACTTTATCGATGGCAACGACAGTTTTCGCGAACAGAATTTGCGCTTTGTCAGGGTAAGCAGATAAAAAACTTATGTACAATAGGAAAATAATTGTAAATAATTACTTTTGTTTTGTTTTAGAATGAGTTTGAAGAGAATATAAATCAATTCTTTAGTGGTGAAGCTGCAGATAAAGGTCAGGCTGGCAATGCGGCGCCGCCACGCGAATCAGTTGTCGTGCAACCCACGCCCGGTAAGTTTGTTTCTGTTTTTTTTTTCCCTTAATACACAAAATTTGTTGTCCCACTCGATGGCTATTGAAATCTAATGCAATTGAAATGTTGCTAACAGTTTAATCAGATGTTGGGCGCTTATCAGTAAGTGGCTTAGGCGTCACAGGCGATCCGTGAATCGGTGACACATGCCCCCCGTCTTTGAATTAGTTTTGAAGTGTTCACGTAGAAAAACGTTTATTTGGCTTGACCGGGCTTGTCGTTAGGAATTCCTAACAAAAAATGCTTTTTTATTTCTTCAACATTTAGTAGCTAAATGTGTTTATATATAGAAAAATTTCTAGCACATTTAAAAAACCAGTTTTGCGTCTCACTACTCTTGATCTTTGCCAATGCCACAATGTCTATATTTTATTGATCTATGCTTGATGCCAGAAACGGGTTTGTTTGTTTTTTTAGTATAAAACTTTTGTTAAAACAAGAAACTACATTTTCGCTATCTTTCGAACAAAGAAGTTCATATACCCTAACAAATTGTTTGATAAAATGCCTTGAATTACTCTGAGACATTTATATATTTCTTTGTGACATTTATATATGTCAAAAATTACCATTAACATAACTTAACATAATTACATATATAACTGTTTTAATATAATTGTTATTACAATTCAAACATTTAAACTAAATTGTAACCAGTCTACCCGACTGTAACAAAGAAATAACAATTGATCAATTTAAACGTATAGCATATAAACGGACAACTGTGAATGCATTCATTGTAAATCAAAGATAAGCTTCGTAGCAAACGGTCTGACAAAATTAATTATACTCTAACCAAGGTTAAAGTAAATATAAAAAAATAGAAAAAAAAAACGGGTATTTTTTCTCTTCTGTAATTAATGGCAAACCTGTTCCGGCGATTATTCAATGTTATGTAACATAATCAAATATCTCAAAAAGAACGAATGCAGAAATCTATTCACTTAATGTTCAAGTATGAAAAACGCTGTCGAGTCATTCTGATGCTGATTATTCTACAGAAAAAGGCCAGCCGAAAAAATGATAAAAGCACAGCAAAAGAAAAAAGTTCAGTAGACTTTGTATATAAAATATAGGTTAAATATTGAACTTCGTTTTTTGATATATGAGAATATAATAAATAATATGAACCATGGAATTTATTATATACAACTCGTGTGCCCTGTAGACAAAATGTGAGAGAGAGTATGTAATTACCCTAAATTTTTCAATCACTTGGACAAATGCACACTTTTTGGTCAATTTAACTGAAATTTAAAGCCGTTTAACTATCATGTGTATGCCACGTCTTTTGACACATTTCGATCCGTTTCAACAGTTTTATATAAAAGCATTTAAATGTTATATAGCAGCCTTTTTGATACATTTGGATCTGTTTCAACTGCGGCGAATCTATGCTGTTTACATATTGTTAATCACTAAGCACAGCTTTCGTTAAACTGTGAGGCACATTTTACGCTTGATATTCATACGCAGGTTTTTAACAGTTAAACAGGGTATTCTGAAGTCGATTTTAACCTAGTGTTTATTGTATGTTTTATTTTTTCTTTTTAAGTCTTATCGCAGCGCTTGTCCATCATTATCTGGACAATCTTTTCTATTGAATTTATTGTTGTTGTTAAGGTGTCCTTTGACAGGATTGCGCAAACTTCAGTTATCTCTTTATCTCTCAAGTGGTGAAGTGCTGAATCGTGAGCGGCAACGCGTTGTTATCAAACGCAAAATCCAAGTACCCGTACTTGCTCAATACATACACACCCATATATGTATATATATATAAATATGTATATATATGCAACAATATAACTACTGTTAAGCACATATACATATGCATCTATGGTTCGCGTGTTTGTTTCTATTTACTGTTGCTTTAGTTTTCAATTGCACTTTATAATTTTTATTGTTCTTAGTGCTTATCGCGCTTGTTTATAGCAGCTCGGATGCGTGTGCGCGTCTCTCTCATCCGCTCTCTCTCTCTCTCTCTCTCTGCCTTTCGGCAACATATTTTGCTCTGTGCCCTTTTTTCGGTAAGTTTGGTTTCAGTTGAGCTTTAATGACGTCACCATCTAAGTCTTGCCTATTAACTGTTTTAGCTGATCACAGCATAGCACACACACACGAATTTTATGCATTTAATTCGTATAATTGTTTTTTTTTTTCGGTTTGGTTCGTTTTTATCAATTATAAAACGGCATTGAGCATGACCGAACAAAAACAATTTATTTATGAAATCAAATTTTTAAAATGATTCATTCTAAATCGTTAGAACACTTATTATTTACATCAGTTTGAAAGCCCTTCTAGAATGTGCGTGCAGATCATTTCACAATGTGTGTCAAATAACTTTTGGTCGCACTTGTTACGCTTGCAGCCAACCGAATGACAATAATAACAACTACAATAGCAACAATCACAACGAACACAACACCAATAAAAACCCACTTATAATTACCTCGGCGAATTTAATCGGACGTAAATACTGCTTGATAACTTTTTCTTTTTTCTTTTTGTGCTCCTTTCGACCGGTTCGTGTCGAGCGAACAGAACTAACTGAATGGTAAACGCACAAGCCAGCGCAACTTATTCGTTTCTATTTGAAACAATAGCGCGGCCGCTCGCTCTTTGACCAATACCAATGCAATATGAGGCAAAGTTAATAGAAGACAAAATGTGCAAGCTCACACACACATGCACGCGCGTTCTCTTTCTCTCTGTGTCGTGTAATTTCTGAAGCACGCGAGCTGTGCTCTTTTGTTTGATCAATGAAAAGCTAAGCCGGCTTAAGCACTAGCTAAACCTACAGCAGACTTTGTTACTCTGGCTAGCTGAGCCTTTGACAAATTTGAGTTAAGAGCTCACACCTAAACAGAATCAAATAGAAACATGTATGTACATATGTATATAATAAATTGCTTAATTGGCAAGTCATTGCCCATTAGCAATTTAACGCGCGCGTCAAAGATAGTGTGAAGGCCCCCAAAAGAGAGTTGATAAGAGCAAGCGAGATAGAACGAGATAGTGATGAAATAAGGGAACAACGTTTTCCCATCATATGTTTACGTACATACTTACATGTAAAGAAAATGTACGCAAAAGAAAATCAAAGTTAATAGTTACGGAATATAAAAGTGGTTTGAATCATATCTAAAAAGACAAAAAAAAATTTATTTGATGTGACAATGATATAGTAGACCGTTGTTTACAGAGACATAACGCCTCATATAAACATGTGCTTAACTTTAAACAAAAATAAACGACAACAAAAAAAATACAAACCAAACACACGCACCATACATATATAAGCTCTCTTTACCAAGAGTCAAGTGTCTTAAATTCTCTTTACATTTCTCTTTGCTTTTCACTGTGTCAAAAATTTAACAGACTGGCCGCTGACTCAGTTAAAGAGCGAAATTTTTAGCGGCACAGACTTCGGTGAAATATGATTTTCGTGAATAAACAAAAAAAAGGAAAACGAAATGAGCGAAGATTTGAAAATATTGTTCAATCAGAATTGGGCGAAGAACTGAAAAATTTGGTTCCTCAATCTGTAACAATTTTATCTGCACAACTTAACAATAAAATAACTGTCTACAGAGAAAACGGCATATCTATATGTACTTATGAAAGAGACTCTTTGGTAGAATAATTTCAATTTCAATGCGTGAAACCCCGATCCATTTGTGAGTGTACACAATACGTCCCATGGGTTATCTATGCGGGAAGCATTCTAAAACTATTAATGCGTGGGCAAGGAATGACAACAACTGGATTGCAAAAAAATTTCATTGACCTAAAATGTGAGTCCAAATATCTAACTTATCTTTTAATGGTAAAGTATAATCTTTCTCTATTTGCAGGCTATTGAATGGAGTGATGTCAACCAGCAGTTTGGAGCTATATATTTATAGAATTTTATCTAATTTAAATAAAATGAAAATGGAATATTATGAAAATTGTAATAAAAAAGTTAAATATATTCATATGATTAACTATTCTAATTTATTTTTTATGTGAACTACTTAAGATTGTCTTGACATTATTGATATGATATATCGAGGCTCGATCATTGTCAGTAACGTTACTTTAGTTTTAAAGTTTTTAGGTAGTCTGTAGTAGATATAGCTATCTGATAGAAGGTCTTTCATATCATTCGAGTTCCGTTGCCCACAAATATAGCTTTTCTTACCAATTTTAGATCAAGATAATTTCATTAATTACAATTATGTGATTTTGCTTCAGGTTTCTGTGTGAAGAGCTTCAAGGTCAACAGCAATGAGAAGTTCTTTATAAATGTTTGCCAAGCACCGGAAGTACCAGGACCCAAAGACATAACAGATGGCGAGCTAATAAGCATATTGGAATCAACCACGCCGGGATCGTTTCGAGTGCCGATGAGCATTTCGGAGATGCGTAATACCAAAGATCGTTCGAATAATACTGTGGAAGTGTGCGACATAGCGATCAATCCAAAGTTCTTGGCGAAAATCAAAAAGTCACAGCTCTTTAACAATTTCTTTTTGCAAATCGTAGCCGAAGCGCTCAGCGAAAAATACAATATTCAAATAATGATGGACAAGACAATTATATTGAGTAATCGCAAATTTATTGGCACATTGGTGGCGCATCGTGTGAGAAACGACGAAGTGCAGCGGGCAGGTGGTGCGTGTGGTGCAGCTGTTGAAGCTATCATGGCCAATGAAACTCCACGTCCGGCACAGCCATCCACATCCACGAAGCCGTCGAAATTGGTGCAGGAAATTGATGAGCAGCATGCAGCAAATATACGGAATAGGTGGTCAAAAAATCGTCAGCCCCTTTACAAGTTGCGGGCCCGAATTCGCGATGAGAACGTTGATGAAATTCATGCCGAACTTTACTTACCCAATTGCGTGAGTATCTATAGATTTGTACATATATATATACGATTAACGATATTCGTTATATATGAAGTTTGAATAGTTTCCACCAAAGACGGTTCTGACTCCTCGTATAAGGCCAAAAATAATCTCGTATTATATCTTACTTTATCTAGGTCTCATCCCAAGAGTTCAGCGTGGACATAGGCGAGGATCGTATTTTGGTCGAGTCTTTGAAACATGGCTACTTATTTGATTCATTTGTCAGATATAAACTCAATCAGGACCGTGCGCAAGCGCTTTTTGATAAAACAAGCAAGGTTAATAAATACATTTATTAATTCTAACAGTATTGTAAAAAATTAATTTATTTTTTATTTTACAGATGCTTCAAATTCGTATTCCGGTTATTGCACTATAATATAGCATTAAATGCACTTAACTCTTAATAATAAAAACAAACTACCTAAACATGAAATGCACAAAATAAAAATAAAGCAATGAAAATGAAATGTTTACTTTTATTTGCTATTTAGCGTAATGGATATGAAAAATATTATAACTGTAGCTGCTATATTTCAGGGGTTTCTATAAATAAAATTTCATTATTAAAAAATCATTCTAATCTTGGTATTTAATAATTTAAGCTTGAAACATAAGACTTGCATTTAGAGCATTTTTGATAGCTCACCTATGTTTAAAGATGAAATGCAAATGTAAAGGCACCTGAGTTTGACATATGCTACCTGCAACTGGCGACTATTCAACCCTGGTTACGTCAGTTACAAGCATTATTTCAGTTCCAAGTTAAACTAAGATTATGAAGCACTAATATTGAATTAGTTCCGAAAACAACGACACTAAAAAATTAAAATGTGGTATGTATACTACATATTAGAATAAATAAAAGAAAATTTTGATTGAACCGTCATTAATTTAAGAAAGTAGCATTAAAAAGTTACCAACATTTGTTATATTATTTTCTTAATGAACCGGAATATTGAGCACACTCACGAGTAGTTTTTGAATTAGTTCAAATTCAATGATGTTTATTTGGACGTTTAGCAACACTGGCTTGTATATATGTGCTTGTCCGTTTGTAGATGTGTGTCTGTGCGTGTGCGTGTCTGTCAAATGTGAAAATATTACAATTTCGAACGGCATCAAGCAAATAGCATCTAGTAAAAAAATAAGGAAAAAAATTGCCGTTTCTATTATACGTCTTCGCCGCGTAATTGTAAAAATTAACGAATTAGTGAACAATTAGCAATGGATAGATATAACGCCTATGGCATTGGCCAGCGTCGACAGCCCAATGATGCATCGTCTTTTGCGCCAATTCGCGGCGGTGGTGGTGGCAGCGGCGCCGGCGGCGGTAACAGCATCGTCAACGGTGGTGGCAGTGCAGTTGATGACAATTTTCGTCGGCCAATGAACTATGGTCGATCGGATAGTTTTAACAACGGCAACGGGAATGGTTTCAATAATCAAAGATTTTCTGATATTGATAACAACAAATTTGGAATCAATCAACGCTATTCCGATATCGATAACAACAAATTTGGAAATATGCAATCAAACAATTTTGGACGTTCTAATGATGGCGGCAACAGCGGCTACTCAAATTTTTCCAATAATAATCAACGTTTTAACAATAATAATATTCATGGAAATGTTGCACCAAACAAAGGCAACTTCAATGACAACTTTCGTCAACAACAGCCGCAGCAATCACAGTCGCATTCAAGTTTTCTGAGCCGCTCATTTGAGCTGAGATCAAACTCTGCTTCTATGCCTGGTTCTGATAATTATCGTGGGCCTCAGTATCAACAACAACAACAACAGTTGCCAAGTAATTTAGGCCTGGCCCGTTCCATTAGCGATCTTAATTACAACAACAGTCACATTAACAAAAACAACACGGACAACAATCAACGTTTTTACAATAATGATCGCAACATGGACACATTTAGACGTTCCGATAACTTCAGTGGCGGTGGCGGAGGTGGCCAAGAGTCGAATCATATGAACCGCGCTGGCTCTAATTTCAAGTTCAACAATGATCGCCCAGCACCTCCGTTCGGGCGTCCCAATAACACAGGCAACTTTGACAATTTTAATGAACGTAACTTTAATAACGAGTTTCGTGGACCACAGCCTAACAACGATTACACCTTAAACTTTGACAGCAACAAAAACAATATCAGCAATAGCAGCAACAACGGCAACCAGCAATCATTTTACAATATTCCCAACAGCCAGACCAATGGACAAAGCAACTATCGCGGTCCAAATAATTCTGGCTCCTCTGGCAATACTTTGTCAGTGTTGGAAACGGTCAACGCTTTGATGAAAAACCAATCGAACTGGCAAGTGGGCAACAACAATTATGGCTTTGGGCCCGGTAAACCGATTGGCGGCGGTAATCGTAACACCAAATGGAATTTCGATAATAATAATGGACCAGGCCCCAAGCCTCCCCAAACTGCAATTGGCAATAGACCACCTTTTACAAATCAAGGACAAGGGCGCGCTCCTAGACAAATTAACAGCAACAATACTAATTATAATAACAACATAAATAAGCAGCCAAATGCTGCACGTAATAAACAGCCTAATCAACAGCAACACCAACCACAACACTTGAAACAGAAACAACAAGAACAGCCGCAGCCGCAGCAACAACCACAAAAACAAATTGTTAAAAATGTATCGACAGTTAAGAATGTGAGTGTCAATGGCGGAAAATCAAAACCTGTTAATGGGCCGCCCAAATCAAATGCACCTGCTGCTCCAAATACTCAAGATAAAAGCGTCAACAACAAAAAAGAGATTGAAACACAAAAACCACCAGCAAATACTAATGTTAAAGGTATGCCAAAACGACTATCTGTATGATGTATATTTAACTTATATATCCTCCTCTAGTTACAGGACAAAAACGTGTGGCGGAACCAGCACCTGTGCCTTTGACCAAGGCGGATATCAAGCGTCGCAAGCTTGCAATTAAGCGCGGCTTTTTGCTTGGCGGCTTTAAGCTGCCGTATATCAACAATCAGAAAGTTACCTTGCCTCAACCAGAGGATAAATCGTATGCGATTATGTTCTTTGAACAGTCTCCCAATTATAGTACAAGCGGCGAAGAGCTGGACGATGAGGAAATGGCTGAGAGTCAGGATTACGAACAGGAAGGCAAAAATGCTGGACGCACCTTAGTGAAACGCATACGCAAACGTTTGCATTACGAGTGGGCCATCAAAGAGGAGGCAAAGAAATATACATCGTGGCAGAGCTGGTGGACGGATTACAAGTGGTGCGATGAAGCGATCAAAGAAGAGCTGGCTTCATTTGGCAGCATCAATTTGCGCAATTGCTTTATACCTGATCTGCCGCGCTTGACCACCGAGCAGGTGGTCGACGTGATCATTAGCCAGGCTCAATTTGGTTTGGTTAAGAATTCAGACAATTATTTCAATAATATGAAGTCAATATTTACACTGATGAATATCACATTTTTGGAGAACCTTAAGATGCCGAATACCGAGAAGGTTCAGGATATGATTCGGGCTGTTCCAAATGATTTTTGGACTTACAAAATGCGTAGCATGGTCTTTTTGTGGGCTCAATATAAAAAAATCTCAAAGACTTCGTCGCCGGCCACGGAAACTGGAGTCAAAGAGCTACAGGCCATAGCGCGCGATTGGAAGAATCCTCTATTCCATTGGATTGCCAAGCAGGCATTCGACGAGCTGAAGGTAATAAATTATATTTATGAAATTAAAATATATTAACATTTTAATTTCTCATTGCCAGGCTATCAGCGAGGTGGAATGGCCGGAACACAAGCAGCAGTATCCAACTTTGGAGTCCGCTGCTACTACATCTTAAAGCAAATTCTACCCTTGTATGCATTTTTTAACCCAAGTTAATATAAATTTGATTATATATAAATGATTTTTATGTGTCCACCTATAAGCAAAGATTTGTAGATTGAGAATAAATAAATAAATGCATACATTATACAGTTAAAGATTTTCTTTTCTAGAGTAATACGCAATTAAAGACATTGTGAGAACTTATTTGTGTATAATTTATGTATGAATTCTAATAAACGAATAGAAAAGCTTAGATCGTAATTTTTTTGATAAGGTGAACAAATACAGATCGCAATTGAAATATCGATAATCAGTATTTTTATAGTTAATCGAGTATGAAAACTAAAAGCATCGGCTTTAAAATAATATACGATAATCTACCAACTGCCTTTACGGCGAATATCGTATTAATATCTCTATAACAAAAACATTTTACCACAATTACACCCACGTAGGAAAATTAACCACATGTCAAACGCAGCTGTTAGAATATTATTGCTTATATTCAATTAAAAAATCAATTTTCAATTAAAAATTAATGCCACGAGGACAAAGGTCCGCATTATGTAATCTATACTTAATAAATTGCGGAAAACCTGATACCTAAATATAAAAGTACAAAGTCATTTAAGTATAGTTGATAGAAATTACTAGCTAAATAGACCAAATTGCGTTAAGTCGAAATTGGAAAGTATCCCAATATAAAATCTTCCGTTCCTTAACGAAACATCGATATCAAACATTGTATCGTTTTTTATGATCGCTATTAACGGTGCATTTCCATGCATTTGTAACCTGTACAAAATATAAAAATCCAAAACAGCTTATGCACAATGCGTCTTTATTGCCAATATTCAATGAAATATCAAGTTTCTAATAAACAATTTTTAATCTACACCCATCGCACGTTATATAATCCATACAAATGCATTTGGTATATCTGATTCTAAGCACCCAATTGCTTGTAAAGAGTGGGCACATAGTCATCAAATTCAGCCTGATAGAAATTGCCGGCAATGGGATCACCCAAATCGTATTTGTTTGCAAATTCGGCAATTTTGAAGCCTCCACGTCCATCTGCACTGTTGTTTGGCAAAGGCTTCTCATCGAAGGCCAGCTTGCACTTTTGCTCGTAGATCAAAAATACGTAACGATGCAATCCAGTTTCTGGTGGGGGGCCGGAGCCAATGTAGGCCGAGAGAACCTGACCCTTGGCCACATTTTTGCCGGGAATATTGCCGACGAGCCAGTGATGCCATTCACGGAATTTCGGCTCCTTACGACTCGGAGCATCCGGATCGGTCATACAGAGAGTGTAGAGTTTCGAAGGATCAGCTTCCCATTCGACGCATGGCTGATCCTTCACCTGAGTGGGGGTCAACACCATGCCAGGTTGTACGGAAATGCCGCCGGCATATTCAACTTTAGCATCGCACTTAGGTGCCTTGGAAATGACATCGGGCACAATACAATTCTCTTCCATCACGACTTTAATTGATTTTCCAGAAACGGTCCGTAGCGATATGAGCACAGGTGTAGCTCGTTGCAAAATGGCGAAAGTTTTGTAAGTAACTTTCGTTGCGGCAGTTCTAATGGCATTCCCATTGACAGATGCCATTGTTGCAGCCCTAACAAAGTTATTCCATTGCTTGAAGAATGGAGATTTCATCATGTAGCGCGCAAATCCAAAGCGTGCGGTGTTCATTTTCGAACAGATTGGAGTTACTGCTTAGTTTCAATTATTACCTTGCTTAAATTAGTGGAAATAAATTCTTTAATTGGCAGCCCTGCCATTCACTAGTAAATAAGTAAATAAGACCGTTTGTTATCGGTACTGAATTATGCCAAAACTTAAAAGAAGACAAACAAAAATGTTGTTTGATTTGGTTGCCGGCTTGAAAGATTAAAAAAAAAAAGCTGTGTTCGTTTTGTAGAAATTTAAATATAATCATTAAAACTTTTTAGGTAAGTTTTCTTTAATTGTTTAAATTTTACAAAAGCCATAAATGTTTGTCTAACAATATTAAATTAAGAATAAAATTGGATCACCGATATTATTTAAGAAAAAAACTTTTTAACAAGAATTTCAAATGTCTATTTCGGTAGCTCTGCCATTCACAGGCACCGATTCCGATTGTTCTTGGTATCGATAATTTTTCGAAACATTAAGCGCGGAAAAATAATGCAGTTTAAATTAAACTTATTCTTAGTTTGATTTCTAAAATATATAAAAAGAATTGCTAATGAAATATATAAGTATTTTATGTATCATTCCATCTGATTTCATATAATAATAAAATAATAAAACATACATTAAATTGGCAAGGGTATATTGTTATATATACAAATTTTTTAAATATGCCTAAAAAGAAATAATAACTGGTCGCACTTTACAACTTTTAAACAATATACTTATAAAGCTAAGACTTAAACAAATGTGAGTGAAGGAACATTCAATGATAAATGCGAATGATATGGAGTTTGTTTTCTTTTGGATTTCAATTTGAATATTTGTTCAAGGTTTTGCTATGGGAAATAACTAAACTTGATAGCGCTGTTTATGTCAGGCCTTGCGAAAGACATCGCTGGAGCCGTATGAATATCGACGCTCCTTTAAACTAACAAGGACCTCCTCGTCATATTGTGAGATACGCTGCATCTTAGGACGCATCAAGCCACGAACATCAGTCAGAGTAATATCAATATCTTTAAAGGCATTTAGCATAAACACAGCGATGATGACCACCAAAAAGCCACAAACATCACCGAGGATATTCTCAAAGCGCATCTTGCTGAACTCCTTGAGTAGTATAGCAGATGCAGTGATCACCAAGGTGGTGAACATCACATAGTAAACGGGTGTAACGATGCTCGTATTGAATATGTCAAGCGCCTTGTTTAAATAGTTCATCTGTATGGCTATAAAGGTGACTGTGACGACAATAAGGAACCATGGCATCCATGTGCTAAACACATTCGAGCCATTGGCGATCGTACTTCTTATGGCCAGGCCTAAAGCTTTGCAGGACATCACAGTGAGGGAGCCAATGCCTGAGCAGACAAATAGGTAGACACAAACATTCGTGTGTCCATATTGAGGTGCCACAAAACATGCAATAAATGCACAAGAGCCAAATATACAAATTACGTAGAGTATAAAAACTGGATCCTGCAGCATTTCGAATAACACTTGTAAATCTTCAATTTCCTTTTCCTTCGGAGAATGGATGACCACAATCGTAGAGCCCAATATGCACAAAAAGCAACCAAGTTTGCCTAATAAGTTGAGCTTTTCGTTAAGGAAACGTGATGCCATAACAGCGGAAATGATGACACTTAGCGCTCCTAGAGGCGTGACTAGCGAGGCGGGCGCAAAGGCATAAGCAGCAAAATTGGCCGCTTCACCAAGACCCACTGAAAGAATACTGAATAAATCTTACGATACAACAATTATCTTATTTATGACTCACTTGTTAGCAACCCCGCCCACCAAATCCATTCACGCAGATAGCCAAATCCTCCAGCCGCAGCGCGTACTTCGCCATGTCTGCTAAGCCTTAATAATGCCTTCTTTTTAATAATAAAACTGGAGCCAATAAAGAAACATGATGAAATGGCCAAACCGACGCCAATGTAAAAATCTGTATTTGAGATGGGCTCAGTTAAGGGATTTGTGGCAGATGGAGCACTAATGGGGGAGGTTGCCAAAGCAGGCGGCAGTAATGAGGCTTCGCTATTCATTTGTCAGCTATGTATCTTGTTAACCGCAACTCTGCAAAATGAAGAAAGACCACAAATAAATACCTAAAGCGGAACACACACACAAGCACACAAATAAACATAGACAAACACACGACACTCAACTGTAATCAGCTGCAAGTTGTTTTTGAGTGACTCACATTTGCCCTCGCGGCTTGCACTTTATACATATACACATAAATATATTTGTACTACTTAAGCATAAGCAGTTCTCTTTATTCTCTCTAAAACAAACTTACTTGTATTCTTAGCTGCCATGCAAATATAATGAAACTGCTCAGACCAAAAGGCGTTCGACTTTGTTTTGGTTTTTACGATTACAACATCGATTGCGTTATTGCCAGGGCTACAGTATAATATCGAAGTTGACTGTTTTGCAGCACTAAAAGATTGTATTAAAGAACAGCTGAGCGCTGTTATGTTTTATTTTTTAAGCTTTAAATGTTTTTATTAAAGTCGTTGCATAACTTATTATTTAATGAAACCATTATTTTATATGCCATTTATCAAGCTTATAACATCTCAAAAAGATGTTTATAAATGAAAATAATTGATTGCTTATAATAACAGAAATGTAACAGAGACATGTTAAGTTTCTGATTGCTTAAAGCATATGTTCTGTTTAAAAAGTAAACAATAAATTAAAAATATATTATGGATATTCAAGACGCGTTTATTGCAGGAGATTTTTTTGAACAGGCCCTCAGCAGCAGCTGCAGCAGCAAAAAAACTGCACCTAAAACAATAAAATAACTACCATACACAATATACTGGGTTTTTGGAGGCAGGCCAAAGCCTGTGTCTGGAAATAAAGACGATTATTGCTTATATTGAATAGGAATTACTTTCATTTTCGACTTACCCGTTAATACGACAATGGTTAAAATGGTTTGCAGTACAAGCGCCACCAGCATGTTGATGCCAAAGATCAGGCCGAAGCTATCATCCACCAGATTCTCAGCCACTATGGCAGCGGCAACTGTGATGGTGAAGAAAAAGACGGCACAGAAGATCACGTAGCTAACGTAGGCTAACCACAAGCTATCCACGCAAGCAGTTATCAGTAGTAGTCCGCCAAGAACACCCACACAAATGGAGTTGAGCAGCATATAGCGATTGCGATTGCTATTGCTGTTCAGCATGCCGGCAAGAATGGCTCCAATGGCACCCAACAAGGTGGCCGCTGCTTCTACGCCGCCATTGTAATTACTCTGATATTCCGGTGCGAGCTCCTTCCATAGAAATTGAATATAGGAGATGACCTGTATTTGTCCACAAATGCCCAAAGCCCACCAGCTGCTCCACAGAAGCACCACTGGATTCGTATACGAGGAGACGAGATGATACCAAAGCAGGCGACCAGCATTGCTCAAAGAGAACTTTGGCGCCACTGCGTCCGTAGTAAATTCTTCCACAGCCTTCGTCTCTTTCTGATGGGTTTTGACGGAGTAAAAGTAAAGACTTCGTGGCACACTTGGCAGCAGCAGCGAGATGGGAAGCGATATAACCTGCGTGCTCAATGAAATGAAATGCAGGCCGCGAAAACTTAAACTCTCCGTGGAAACGAGCAATTGTGCAATCACGCCGCCCAGAAATTTACCACCCAAAATTGCAGCTCGCGTATGTCCGGTGACCAGTTGATAACGCTCCCGATCCACGTTGGCATATATGTAGGTATAATAAGCCACCTCTGCTGCGGTGAAGAAGCCAAAGAAGAGCTGCGCCAGCTGCAGCTCAAATAACGTATGCGTCCATAGCAAAAAGGAGAACAAGATGATGCCCGCTATCGAGGAGAGCACGATAATCGGCTTGTAGCGCAACAGATCCGTGATGAGGAATACAATCACCAACTGGGCGAGCACTGCATAGGTGCCAAAGGGATAAACATCTTGATAGATTTGCTCAGTTGTCAAATTTTTCCAATCACCAGCCAAATACTCTGTGACAAAGGGCTCTGAGGGTCTTAGCTCGCGAAAGAAACCGAACAGACAGAGCAGCAAAGAAATCTTTAGCCAGCTCTGCATCTCAGCTGGAGAGGAAACCGAAGCGCTCTCTCAATCGTTAATGTAAATTTGTTGCGGTTAATTGATTCGGTGTCGTAACCGCGACGACTGCTCGACAACAACTGTTCCGATCCGATCAGAGACGAATCGCAACGATCCGCTGAAAGTCAGCTGAAAGCAAAGGCAACCTGTGGCTTTCTTCCAAAACTGCCCTGAAATTGCGAGTCGAAGCAAAACACGAATATAAAATAATTTAAAAGAAGCTCTATGGCTATATATTATGTATACTCTACATATATCCTCATATATATATTCTCTATATATATGTATATTTATGAGGTAGCAATACCTCAGCTAATTTTGTGTTAAGGCATAATTGGTTTTTGCTAGTTGTAAAAATTTATATTTTTATATACATTCATTAATTTGACTTAAATTGCATTTCTCTATCAGTCTAGACTTCTGTACTTTAATATATACATATATATTAATAGCTTCAGCACTTTATATATATATAATTTGCAGGGTATTTGTTAGTACATATGCAGTTTCTTAGAGCTTTTTCGATTGGGCAATCACATTGATCAAATTCTTCTTTGGGGCATAACAAGTTTGTCATTGCGCTTGTAACATGAAAATACGCTGCAAAACAATGTGCTTGAAGAGTATATTAGCTTGGTATCTAAAATAGTTAAGCTAATGAAATGGAAGTCGCTACACGTTACACAAATTTCATTTTCTTGTGCTTTTGCTTCTTCTCTGCTTTTGCCATTGGTTTTTACACTGTTTACAGGGTAGCGCCCAGTCTGTACGCTGTTTTCTTACTTTCTTCCCACTGTTTTTTTGATTTGTGATATTTGTTTGGCAGACTGATAAAGCTAAATCTTATCACTCTACGTTAATATTCATTCATATATAACTCTACATAGCCATTTAACTGACAATTTCATTATTCTTTTTCGTTTAGGTTTTATGAATTTATGATATTTTATGACTAGTGTTGTGGTTGCTGATATAATGGTTCCAAAAATCTGAGTAAATCGGAGTTTTTCATTTGTATAAGTAGAATTAAAAGAAATAAAAAATGAAGGGTAGTAAAAATAGTATATAAAATATAGACGTATAAATATTAATAGAAATGCCACATATATTTCACAAATCTATTCTCAATTAGCTTTAATTGTTGTTTGAAATTTGCTCTACAGCAAGTCAAAGTGAAATTGAAGCGAAATAGTTTTTGGGAACATAACAGTTAACTTTATTATCTACTTTTTAATGTATTCTTGATAGAGACGCAACAGTTCGGGACTTGTGCGCGGCTTTACCGTTGCCAGCGCCAATTCGAAGTGTCGCCAATGCACGAGCTCGGCCTCGAAGCTTTGCTCCAAGGCGCTGAGCGCTGCCTCATGGCAAACAGCTTGAATCTCTGCGCCCGAATAGCCTGCGGTAAATGTGACCAGCTGATCGACATTCACATCCTCAGCTAAGGGCATGGCACGCAGCTTGATGAGCAGAATTTCGCGACGTGCCGCCGCCTCTGGCAAGCCCACATAGCAGACGCGATCTATGCGACCGGGCCGGAGAAGTGCCTTGTCTATCATATCTGGACGATTGGTGGCGGCTACAATGGTGACATTATGCAAAGCGTCCACACCATCCAGCTCGGTCAGCAGTTGGGTGAGCACGCGCTCCTTAACAGATGACCCGCTGGCTGATCCTTCGGAGCGCTCCCCGCCAATCGCATCGATTTCGTCAAAGAACACAATCGCCGGAGCCACCTGACGAGCTTTGCGAAAAACTTCACGTACCGCACGCTCCGATTCGCCCACCCACATGGAGAAGAGCTCCGGGCCTTTAATGGATAAGAAGTTAAGTTTACTTTCAGTAGCCAGCGCCTTGGCTATCATTGTCTTCGAGCATCCAGGTGGACCAAACATGAGCACACCACGAGGTGGCTTTATGCCCAAACGCTGAAATTTATCTGCATGCAGCAACGGCCACTCGATGGCTTGTTGCAGAGTGAGACGCAATGCCGCCTGCCCGCCAATATCCGACCAAAGCACATTCGGATTCTCAATCAGAACCTCGCGCATAGCTGAAGGCTTGACTTGCGTAAGCGCTGCTTGCAAATCCCGCAGCTCTAGAGCGCGAGGCTCCCCCTTCAGCGTAGCTAGCGTTGCTGTATATACAAGATTAACTAAATCGGCGCCCACATAGCCATGTGTGATGCTCGCAATGTGTTCCAATTCCGTGTCTTTTATATTGTGCTCCAACTGCTGCAGTTGGCATTGCAAAATCTCCTTACGAGCAGCAGGACTAGGCGGACCCAGCTCCAATTCACAATCCAAGCGTCCTGCACGTCTTATGCTTGGGTGTAGTGCATCAATTTGCGAGCTCGTAGCTAGCAGGAAAGTGCGACTCGTCTCTACTCGACAACCGCTGCTGAGCTGATCGAGTTGGGAGAGCAATGCCATCGAAACGCGCTTGACCAAGTCATTTGAATCCTGTTTCGGACAAAGCGTGTGAATATCCTCCAGGATAAGCACCGAGGGATGTGGGTAATGCGAGTAGGCGCGTTCAAAATATGCGGCCAGCTTTTGCTCCGTTTCACCCAGAAATTTGCTAAACACTTCGCCGCTGCTAATATTAATGATTTGGACATTGTGGTTGCTTTTCTGGGCAGACGAACACATGGCCTCGCAGACCAAGGATTTACCACAGCCGCTGGCGCCATAAAGTAGCAAGCCACGGGATATTTTGATGCCTGAAAAATGGACTCTTTTAATATGCTTTAGCCAAGTGTATGTGCACGTACCTTTCGGCATTGGCTTGTAGCCTAGCGCATAATTCATGTTTTCTTCTACCACTTGAATTTGCTTATCCAATCCGCCAACCTTTACTTTAGTTAAGTTTTGATCCAGCTCCGGTTGCTGTTGCTTGATTTTCTCTTCGTTAAGTAATAGCTCCAGCCGTGTAGAATTTGTTATTTGCACAAATTGTTGGGTATTAGCCAAACTAAGATTTGCCAGCGCATCCTCCAGAGCATCGTCCTCCACTCCTTGCCAGCTTTCCAAACGAAAAGTCAATGGCTTGTTAAAGAAATTCAAATAGAGTTCACTGCCTGTTCTGTATATTTGATTGACTATGTTGCGCTTAAGTACCGCCGCCACATCTTGAAGATGGATTGGCTCCAACTCGGATTTGTTGGAGTTTGAATGTCTTAAGGAGACGCTGGCGGCGGCAAAGAGCTGACTGTGATTGAGAGCTGAAATGCGCAGCAATTTGCCTTGGAATGCAGACCAATTTTGTCTAAAATCTGTAATGGAAGATCATTATCATGTCTGTTAATTTAAGATCTCTATGTTACCTTCAGCTGTGGCGAAAATAGTTGTAAGGAACTGCTCCGAAATGGGCCAAAGGATGCGAACCAGCGCTTGTTTTTCGGCTTTTGTTTCTTCTTCTACTGCTGGTTCTATAACTACCTTTTGCCCTATGTGAAATTGAGCGAGCTGTATGGCACCTTCAGACATAAATAAAAGCGTATTGGCATATTTCGCAGGTAGATCCTTCAAAGATTCCACTTCGAAATTTCGTTGCTGCACGCTGCTCGTATAAAGCGACCCATTGCGCACAAACTCTGTGTCCACAGCTGCGCTACTTCCATCGTCAGTTATAGGACACACTTGCTCGTGAGTATCCCGAGATTTGTTCGTTATATGCACATCACATTTGTCACAGTGATACCAAGTAGCTTGGTTTTTTTTATTACTCGACTTTGGCGGCATGTCGGCAAACGAAGCACGTTTTGTTTACCTTTTGCCAAACAGCTGATAGTGTCTGCGTGCGCACTGATTGTCAATTAAATGCGAATGGCGCAAATTTAAGCACAGTTCACAGCGTGTTATATTAAGATTGTAAAATCGAAATATTTTGGAACTAGTTATTTAGTTTTATCTATAAGTGCATGCAGGACTCATTGTAACATCAAATTACTTACATTTAGCTTCATGTCGGACTTTTTTTGGTCCTTTTTCAAACCACCAACTGTGTCAACGTGCACTGTTAATGGCTATGTAAGCAAAGTTAGCGGTACATGCTTTTGAACTAAGGGATCGATACTTAGTTTTTTATTAGTTTCTAGTTTTATTATTCATTTGGTGTTCAATAAATCTAATTTCACATACAGTTACACATATATACACTTAAGTGGCAGAACGAACAACATATTATCTTTAGACCAGCTAGAAAATGAACTCGCTTAGCAGTCTATTAATATTATACAAAAAGAAAGTTTATTGCAGCAGCAAATCAGTTTCGCTGGCATTCGCCGACATCAGGTCCCGTTCGAGGCTGGTCGTAGCATTTGCCTGATTCAAGAATAAATCAAAATCGTAGCCATCATTTTGCGCCGAAATGGAATCCTTTTGATTGCTAATGGTTTGCGGATTTGAAAGCAAATCCACATCCTGGAGGCCCAGCTCCTTGAGCAGGGATTCATTCTCATTGGCATTGGACTCAATTGTGGATTCCTTTAGCTCCACATTAATAATGGGCGCCGGCTGCTCGACTGCTTCCCTGCCATACGTCACTTTATGGGAACGTGTCGTTGCATTCGCTTCAATTTCATCATCATCAAGCTCCTGGGGTTTGAGAGTACTCGATTTATATTGAAAATCTGTTTCTTTGAAGTCGACTTCAATTGGGAATAGGGGAGGCAGAGTGTCCAGCCGTTCCACCAGGCTTTTGTGCAGCTCCGCTAAACTTTCAAGCAGGCTGCGCAGCTGTTTATTCAAATCCATTGCATGCTTGCACTCCAGCAGCTCCATTTTCTCGAGCACATCCGTGCGCAGCTTGGCAAACTTGCTGCGCGCATCCTGGCGACAGCGTAGGATTAAGCGATATTCATAGTTGCCCGTCTCGACGCGATAAAGCGGCTCCTGCAACGCCGCAAAGCCATGCTCCTCATCATCCATCTCCTTAACTTTCAGGCAATAGGAGAGATAGGTGAACTTAGCGTCCGCATAACGTCTCACGGTTAACTTTGTGTCTGGTATGGCCTTATTTAGATATGTGCCCAGGTCGGCGAGAACGGGCTTAATTTGCTTTATAATAGCCAACCCGTCCTTTTCCAGCGAACGATGAAACTCGCCAAAAGTGCGAAATGCTTCACTGGCTCGTTGCTGCGGCTCATGCGCCGAGATTTGGGTGAAGCAGTCGCCGAAGCTTTTGTATGTCTGCAATAGATCGTAATAGGCCTTTAGCATGCGACGTGCATGCTCCACCAATCCTTTGTACATCAGTTCTGTGCCCTCCAGCTCCTCCAGCCGCTTGACCAGCGAATCGTTACATAATATAGCCCTCGATAGACCCAGCGTATCGGCTGTATTGCTCGACAAATTGTCCACAATGCGATGCTTCAGTTTTTTAAGGATTATGTCCAGAGTCTTGCCCTGCTCGGGATCTGCGTGCAGTTTGTTATAATGCACGGTCACCTCATCCGTAGCTGTTTGGATCATCTTGGCCACTTCCACTTTGGTCTTGCCCTTAACACTCACCGAATTGACGGCCAGCAGCTCGTCGCCCGATTGGAGGGAGCCTTCACGGGCAGCGGGGGTGCCATCGAAGACCTGGAAAGAAGAGAAGGAATAGCAAGTAAATATGATTCTTGATCGGCTTGCTTCGATGTTGAAGTTTTACTCGATATTTTGATTTCGAAACATTTCGGTCGAAAAAGTTATCATTGTATGAATAAAATTAAAATGTGATATAAAAGGGTTTAGTCAAAATTCATAAAAACAAAACTGTGTTTTTGGAATTTGTTTGAGATAGAAAGAAACCTGTTGGAGCGGTAACCAGGGGCCATGACACTATCCCATTGGTATAGAGACAAAGAGATGGAACCAAGACAGGAAAAGTCGAAGTCGAAATTGGCATCCCATATCCAACAGTTGGATATGCGCTTGCAATCCATAGTCTTGGAGAATAATGCCAACAAGTTGTTGCGCCAGCAGGCGGGTTTGGACAAGGTCAAGTTGTCATCGAAGACGAACAAAAAGAAACTGCACAGACTGCCGACGGTGTGTCACACACAAAAATTATACGATCGCAATCGCCAGCAAGAGTTGCGTCAGATGCAGAAGATTCAAAGACAGCAATGCCAGTTCCATAGTCATCCGGTGCCTGATTTCAAGGCCATGCACAGACGCTGGGAAATACGAAACAAATCGCGACAACGGCACTCTACGCACAATTTAACCAAACCTGTGACGCCCCAAACTTTAATCAAATCTATGGAGTCGGCCAAACGTTGGCGGGCCAATCGAGCGGTTCTAGAACGCTCGAAAATGAAGGAGGTGACGCTGAAACCACAGCTGAGTCAATCTTCTGAGAACTGGCGGCAGCCTCCATTCGTGCCACGCATCTTATCGAGCATTGTGAAGACTGAACCGTTCCAGCTGAAGTCTGTGGAACGGGGCAAGCTTCGCAAACAGTTCGATTTATGGCATATGCGCAAACAGGAGAAACGTTGGCAACGTAGGGCGGACGAGTGGGCGCAACGTTGTCACAATGAATATGTCGAGGCGCGCAAATTGACTCATTTTAAGGCAACACCCAATCCTTGGAAGCGAATTAAAGCACAAATCTAAAAATTTCATTTCGATAGATTCTTACATAAGTTTTTTGTACGGAACTCACAAAAAAAAAACTAAATAATTTCCAATTTAGCTTTCGACTCATGAAGGATCTCTACCCATAGCGCAGTGGGTCAGTTCTTTCATTTCTTCAATTAGATTTCTACTTGTTTTTAGTCGAATATGTACTATGTATATATATATATATATATATATCAAGAAATATATATATATTCCAAGCTCTGATCTTACGTTGAGTATTATTTATTGGTGAAATTTTTAAAAAGTGTTGAAATTTCGCAATTATTATTAAGATATTTCGACTCTAGTTTCTTAGATAATTAGTTCACTTACCTGCACTATATAGAGACAGGGACACATCGGCGCTCCGCCTCCAATGCTAATGCCAATTAGATTACTCTGATCCTTAGTGATCACAACTGCATTCGTGCTTACAGTCATGCCCCTGCGAATGTTTGATTTTAGTTAGATTCAGCCTAAGTTATTAACATACATATATAGATAGTCTAGACCTAAGTTGAAGCTTTTTGTTAGAGCAATAAGCGTGCCATACTCACATCAATTTGTGCATTTTTCTAATTAGCCATAAATGTTGTTAAAGAACTTAAAATTAAACGCTTCTTACTATGAAGATGTATGTATTTTAATTTTTTTTTTAAATTAAAAATTTAAAAAATAGCTTTGGCATTCTTTATAAAGTTTTTGAAAATAAATTTTTCAAATATTAATTTCTGTTAAATCTTTAACTATGTATGTATTTGTACAAATGTTTTCCAAATCTTTTAACTATATGGTTGTATATAGTAACTAAATATCATTTAAATATATATTATATTATAGTATATTATGTCAGCTTCAAGTATTTTTTTTTATTTGATTATCTTGACTATACAGTTCTATAAGTCAATCAGGAACAGTTTGACTATAAACATTTTTGCTGAAATTATGTGCTCTCAATCTTCTAATAACCTTCGAATATATTTAATATGCAATTATATTGCTTATGCTTATAATATATAATATCAGAGAATATACAATATATACATATATTCTAGGATATATCTCAAATAGAGGAGTTTCTAGCATTAACATATTTATTATCCAAGTAAAACATAATAATATAATTGTTAATTTAACTACACACATTTATACGTGTTTCTTATGTTTACGCTATTACAAAAATTAAAATAAATGTAGCCTTAAGGAGCCCATAAAAAAAAACGAGGCATACAATAAATACTCTTTGTCTCCGTCTAGGTTTGGGTTAGCTTTTGAGACACTACATGAAGTATATGGTTTGTATAACGGCATATAACGATTCATAACGTTTCTAACGGTTTATTGAGTCAAGAAATTTTGACTTACAAGCGATCTAGCTCATATTTTTGTTTACTAAAAAGTCCATATCGATCTGGGGTTAGCTCGAGGCCAGTGCAAAATACCGCCGTTTCTGTCTCAGCGGCCAAAGAAACTTTCGAATCCTCCAATTTTTGTTTCGAACTTATAGGAATCAAATATATATGTCATATATATACATATATGTATATAGAGAATTAGAGGCAGAGCTAGTAAATCCTATTCCACCCGATACTTACGCCTCAAAGTCGGCCATGAAATCCTCATTTAACTGTATTAGCACTGGCGTTGCCTCGCTTGTTTGTTTTCTAATTAAATTTTGTATTACATTATTTATATTTATATTATCATAAACAATATGTTGACCCAATTATTGATTTTTTGCCAAACAGTTGGCAAAGCTTTTCAGTTATGTTTAACCCACGAAAGGAATATATATATACAAGCATATATACATGTACTGCGATACTCACATCTTATCCTCGTAGAAGAAATCATCGTCGTCTGTCAGCATTTTGGCAGCTTTTTATTTATTTATTATTTTAAATTAAACAGACTTTAGAGCCTTCTTTACACTACTGACGTGAACTTGGCTGCAAATGAAAAACCAAAACAATTTGCTATCGAGCAATATCGATATTTGGCGATACTATTTATTGACCAGTGCACAACACTGGAGAACAACTTGTTGCCTAGGCAACGAGAAAAAATATAAACAATAAATAATTTGTGCGATGGATTGGGCTGAAGAGCTAAAAATGACAATAAGAAAGGTAAAATTTAAGTTAATAAAATTATAATTTATGTATGTAGACAAATTTATAGACCACAGCGCGTAAGGGTCGTCGCTCAAAAAGTCGCGATGTGTTAAAAGAGGAAAATCAAGCGGGATCTTCGTCTAGTGCCGCGTCCACCCACAAACAGAATAGAGATATATCTATTGATATTACCTTGGATATACATAACGATAATAGTAGTCCAACGTCTACAACTCCGACCACATATAACAATGAATTTGATTCAAGTCGGCCGCCCATCAGGCGCGTTTCAGGTGGCTGGGCAGATTCTGGCTTAAAGGGACTTAAGTAAGTAAAAGTCTTCAAACTTTTGTTTTTGTCTAATTCAAATTTATTTTTTATAGATCAAAGAAGAATTCATTTGATGAGTAAGCAACGACAAATGTTTTATGAATATAAATAATTAATATAAAATTTTTAGCGAGCGCTTTCAAGTGATAAAATCAGCAACAAGTTCTATACCTACGGATGATATACCCATTATACCCGATTTAGACGATGTCAGAGATGAAATCTTACTAAATGAAATTGTTGAGCCAGCTTCGTAAGAGATTTTTATATATAAGCATGAAAAAAATAATAATTTAATTTACTTGCAGAAGTATCGCTTTTAGTCGCGATGTCACATTTAAAGAGTTAAGCTCCGATCTGCTGTCACAAAATGCCTTTTCAGCTATAGAAGATGTCGACTTGACCATATTGACACGTTGTTTACAGGTCCAAGAAAGTTTGGATGAACCGGATGAAATTTGGGAATGGGATAAGCTCTTTACTGAGATAACTGCTCAAATAAATTCGGACAAAACATTGAATGTTGGTATGCCGGAAAAAACAGAAATTGGGCCCGACGAAGTGCCGCCAACGGCTAAATATAATTGACTCAATATAATATATAATTTGAATAAATGCAATATTTAAATCTACTCGCGCTTTGACTTAAAGTTCAAATTTTCATTCAATAATGAATGCACATGAAAGGTGCTAAATAATACCAAAAGACTTTAGAATAATCGAAAAAAAAATCGATAGCATTGCCCAAGTTTTTCCCGTCACTATCCATCACGGGGCAGCGAAAAAACATAGTTGTAGACATTTTTTAATCTGTGTTAATCGCGTTGAAAATTGTGTTAAAAAATTATAAATTGTTTATAATTCAATAATTAATTCAACAATGGCGCCGAAATCCAGGACAGTTGGTATTAAACCGAAAGCACAGACCTTCAAAGACAAGTCAAAGCCAACCGATGTGCGGCTGTCCAATATACAGGCGGCGAAGGGTAAGAAAATAATTAAGTTATTCTAAAAATATGCAAAGTAATAACATAAAATGTGTGTAAAAAGGTTATTTATGTTACTCTTTGTAACGTGTGTTGCATTTTTGTTGCTGTTAGGATGAGTTAATGTTTTAAAATGCATAAAAGAACAGCAGTTGCCGGCTGCCGTCTGGAAGCTTCTTAGTGATGACAATAAATGAGTCATGTGTTTAGGTATGGAACTCTAACTAATCGACTTTTTTTTTGCAGCTGTTTCCGATGCCATCCGTACCAGTTTGGGTCCTCGCGGCATGGACAAAATGATCCAGGCTGGCAATGGTGAAGTATCGATCACTAATGATGGCGCCACCATTTTGAAGCAGATGAATGTGTTGCATCCCGCTGCCAAAATGTTGGTTGAGCTGTCCCGTGCCCAGGATGTGGAGGCTGGCGATGGCACCACCTCTGTTGTGGTTATTGCTGGTGCCTTGTTGGAGGCATGCGAGAAGCTGCTTCAGAAGGGTTTGCATCCCACTGCCATTTCGGATTCGTTCCAACGCTGCTCGAACAAGGCTGTGGAGATTCTAACCCAAATGTCCACTCCCATTGAACTCAAGGATCGCGAAACGTTGATCAAGAGTGCTTCCACATCGCTCAACTCCAAAGTTGTCTCCCAGCAGAGCAGCTTGCTCGCTCCCATTGCTGTGGATGCAGTGCTGAAGGTCACCGAACCGGGCAAAGAGGCTTCGGTGGATCTAAAGAACATTAAGGTTATTCAGAGCTTGGGCGGCACTGTTGAAGATACAGAATTGGTCCAGGGTTTGGTGTTCACCAGCCGCTCGGCTGGCACCAATGCACCCAAACGCATCGAGAAGGCAAAGATTGGTCTCATTCAATTCTGCATTTCGGCACCAAAAACCGATATGGATCATAATGTGATTGTTAGCGATTATGCAGCCATGGATCGTGTGCTCAAGGAGGAGCGTTCCTATATTTTGAATATAGTGAAGCAGATTAAGAAGGCGGGCTGCAATGTTCTGCTCGTACAGAAGTCCATATTGCGGTAGGTTATTTGAATTTGATCTTAGTTATGGAATGTAAAACACAACTTCATCTTTCTGCATCTATAGTGATGCTGTCTCAGATTTGGCTCAGCATTTCCTTGACAAAATCAAGTGCCTTGTTGTCAAGGATGTGGAACGCGAGGATATTGAATTTGTGTGCAAATCCTTGCACTGTCGTCCAATTGCTTCGCTGGATCATTTTACTGCTGAGAATTTGTCGAGCGCAGACCTCGTCGAGGAGGTGGCCAGTGGAACAAATAAGTTTGTCAAGATCACAGGCATTCAAAATCAAGGACGCACCGTTTCCATTATATGTCGTGGCTCCAACAAGCTAGTTCTGGAGGAGGCTGCGCGCTCGCTGCACGATGCCCTTTGCGTGGTGCGTTGTTTGGTTAAGAAACGTGCTCAAATTGTGGGCGGTGGTGCACCAGAGATTGAGATGTCACTGCAGCTGGCTGCACTGGCCCAAACCGTAGAGGGAGTGGATGCATATTGCTATCGTGCCTTTGCGGATGCTTTGGAGGTGATTCCCTCCACTTTGGCAGAGAATGCGGGCTTAAACCCAATCGCTACGGTTACGGAGCTACGCAATCGTCATGCTCAGGGCGAAAAGACAGCCGGCATAAACGTGCGTAAGGGCGCTATTACCGATATTTTGGCAGAAAATGTAGTGCAGCCGCTGCTTGTGAGCACATCAGCCATCACACTGGCCACCGAGACCATACGCTCCATACTGAAGATTGATGATATTGTAAGTGGCTCCCTATTATCTGTTTTGATCTGAAATTCATTAATGTTTCTCTTTGTAGATCAACACCATGAGCTAAACAGTGCGCTCTCATCCTGGCTGCAAATTCTACTTATTTGCATTTTCATATAACACACACACTCTCACATATACCTACGCAAACACACACGTATATGATAAAGAAACATAAACACCATCCATAACGTTTCCATTTTTGCGACATCTTGTCCGCCTCTAATTGAATAAAATTCACATAATATACACTACAAGTTAATATGTATTTAACGTTTAAATAAAAAACACTATGTATTTCGCTTTGTATTAACAAGAACTGAGAACTATTGCAATTTATTTGTTTTTGAATTTGTGAGCAAATACTCGCTTTATAATTGCCATTCACAAACCTGCGGTTGGGCTTTGGTGTTGCCATATCTGTAGAAATAGTAAAGCAGTTTCTTTTTGGCGGCAAATTCAAAAATTGGCTTGTGTAATAATTAAATTTAATTTGGTGTACTTTAAGATATATTAAAAAATATTTCAATAAAATATTAAATATGAAATAAAAAGACCCCATTCATATAAATTAAAAGTTAGTAATTAAAATTTCTCTCAAAATTAATAAAAAAAATTTTATAATAATTATATACAAAAATGTATAAGAAATATTTGAATAAAATTATTGATTAATAATTGTAATTGTAATAAATTGCTCTCATATGACTGTCCTGCAACGCCGCTGAAAATTTGCTTCTAATTTCTGAACAACTACAAATGATTGTTGGCATTAGATCTGCGAGTCGTAACTGAAATTTCATGCTATTTTTATCGGCTTCGACTCATCTTTGAAAGTGAGAGATTGCTTCACGCCTTTTCTTTAGGGGAGCTAAAATTTCAAAGGATTCGCTCCCGTGTTATCGTTGACATTCCTTTTGTTGTGCGTGTAAATAAAAATCACTTGATGCGATTTTTATGATGTGCCTTAAATGATTAAACCACTTGAAATGGTTTCAAATTGTCAACGAAAAAGGCGACAAAAATGAGGGAAAAATCCAAAGATTTTTCCCACTTTTTCCAGCTTTCTTCTTTGTCTGCGTGGAGGGCGCAGAACACCCGGAATCGGAAGTTTTTGGAGCGCGTGTTAGTTAATTAAATGTGTAAACATGTCAAAGAGAAAAGACTCGACTGCAAAATGGTTTCGATTTCAAACATTTTTTTTCCCGGGTAGGTTGGGATTTTCTTCACAGTTTGTTTTTTTTTTTTTGCTTCTTGTTGCTTTGATTTTTGAGCACAAAAGTCGTGCTTTAGCGAGGGTTGCTTTACGCCTTTTAAAGGGTGTGGCATGCAAATTTTGTTTGGTCGGCCATCTTTTAAAGTCCAACCATTTTTAATGGGATTTCCAGATTTTGTGGCATGCTTCTGGGCGAGTTTCTCTTACCTTTAGATTTATTTGATATCCCTTAAAATTGAGTACAATGGGATGTGTTGTGAAAACTCTGTGTAAAATGCAAGAGAAATAAACTTTTAAAATATATAGTAAATATATATTTTGAACCTATCTGAATTTAGCATTAGCTACTCGAATTTCTTTATGATACCCTTTAAAAATGAGTGAAAAGGGGTATTCTGTTTACAGGGTAACTGCTTGTAACAGATCAAATAATTTGAATTGAAATCTAGGTATTAAAATTTTAAATTGTATTTAGATGCTGCGGCAGAGATTCAAACGAACAGCTCATTGCAGTGAACTACTGAACTAGTTCAATGATCAGTGAACTACAGAGTTATATTAGTCACAGTTGATAGCCACTGATATTTTTGTTGATTTACTTTACATTGGTGATGCTCATTGCTGGTTCTTTGGAATGTCCTAGCTTAGTAAGAACTAGTTCCATCTATTATGTTCAATGTATGTTCTCATGAGTCGTTTTAGTGTTCATGAACTACACGTTCTATTGAGCTAATCAGCATTAAATAATCGATCAATGGCAATCGTAATCGTTTATCGGCGAATATGAAGTATATATAGTGAGCTAATGAACTTGTGAACCAGTGAAATGAACGAATCAAGAATGAAACAATGAACTTATTAAGCAAATTAAACTATATATATATGATTATATATATATATATATATATATATATATATATATATATATATATATATATATATATATATATATATATATATATATATATATATATATATATATATATATATATATATATATATATACATGTGTAGTAATCCCTTTCAGGTAATCTAGGGTATCTGCTAGTCTATCACTGCCCAGCCGCTGTTCGCTTGACTTTTTTGTGCTTAGCCCAGAGCGTTGAGCACTTTGCCACAATTTCGTTGGCTTGTTTGCTTTGACCTCATCAGGGGCGCAGTTAGAAGGGGCACAAAGGGGGCGAGTCCTTCGTGCATCTCGTCCTGCGTCTAGGGACTCGCATTTGTTTGTTTGAGCAAATATTGAATCTGTGATTTTTTTTTGGGGCTCCTAGTCATATATTTGCCACACTCACACTTTACAGTATTTTCGCTCTTTCTCAGCTTTACGCTTTGTTTCTTTGTCCCATTTGTTTGCTTAATGTAAAAGAATAAAAAATTAAATGAAATAAAAAACGAAAATTTCCTTTTTGTCGCTCATTTCATATTTTCATTGTAATTCAATTGTGTTCGCAGTAATTTGTCTGCTTCTGTTCGTGTTTGTATTTGCTCGAGCACAAAGGCAACTTCTGAAAAATGGCGATGCTACGTCCCCCCCACCCCCTCGCCCTTCCCCTTTCGCTCGCCCACGCAGACAATTGAAATTCAAAGCAGCAAAGACGCGCGCATCGCTGCAGCAGCCGAACATATGTTATCTATAAAACGACATTCTTAAATCAACTATTTGTTAACTTTAAGTAAGGCATGTTGTAGGTGGAGCCAAGGCGGGGAAAGTCTGGGGAAGTATTCCTTGGGTATGATGTGACTAGTTCGATAAGCATGAGGAAAGGCGAGAGTTTTGAGTAGGAAACACTTTTATACCCTGTACCAATTGACAGCGTGCAATTAGGGTATATGTAACAGGCAGAAGTGGGCGTGGGCGTTGTCGAGCTGAGTCATCAGCTACCTCATCTAAGTAACAATATTTAAACCCTTAAGCAGATTTAGAGTTTTTTTGTGTTCATAAATGATATGACTGGCTGCAGTATTCAGGATATCTTCTAGTCGAGCACTCCCGACCTCATCACTCTCACTAGCTTAAGCTCACTTGACACAGTTAAGTAGCCTAGAAATAGTTTGATTAAAATATCTTAAAAAAGTTTTAAAAATGTTTAAAGAATCTGAAGTGGGTTAGACGATAAAGTAGTTCTCTATAATAGATATAGATACTTATATATAGTAATATATAATATTGAGAATGATTAAAGGCGGCAGATCGAATAAGCCTCTAATATACATATATACTTAGGGGATTGAAAGACTTGGTCTTAACTATATATTATATATGTATAAAGCTATACACTCTATATATATAATCTATATAGTTATATATACTATATACTGTACATATATAATCTGTATACTAAAGTCCTAGTCTATCAATTCCTTCTATGACAAACGTTTCTTTAAGTGGGCGTGGCGCCACAATCGAAATAAAGTTAAAGCTATGGAAAAGTGGCCATAAAATGGTAACGGAAAGCTTAATTTTCGTTAGTCCTGGCAGCGTTTCCATTTGATTAATGCTTTTTCACACACAGAACCGTTATGAAAACGCATTCGAAAATTTCATTAAATTGTTATAAATGAAGTCGAATGGAGAGCATTTCACAAAATGGGAATTCAATTTGCAAATGCAGCCGACGAAATCTATCAAAGGACTCGCAAATAGAAATCTTTAGCAGCCGATCTAAGCAAGCGGGCAAAGGGCAGCAGGAGGCATGCCACATGCCACATGCCGCACACACAAATAATAGCCCCCAGCTGAAGGCAAAGCCTAATCCCAACTTCCAATCGACCCGCTTTTCTATTTGACCAGTTAAATGACCAGAGGGCGGCCAGGGTGTGGCAGAGGGTGTGTGGTGGGGGGCGTGGCATTTTGAATATGTGGGCTGAAAATTGAAAGCGATTTGCGAACCTTTGAACGAGCGTCTGCAACGGACTGATAACGATTCAAAGAGCGAAGCTCTGAAGTGTACCAATTATGTGTGAGTGCTACAGATAGAGGACGACTTGCTGAAGGACCTGCTGCAGGACATGCTCCTGTGACTATCCGAGACCTCAACAGAGGGCTGTTCCAGCACTTAGCCATGGCTGCGAGGCGACATTGAAGCGCTTTTGATGTATGGCAAAGCAAACATTCAGGGAAGTTCCATTCAAATGTACCTATTATTAAAATCAGCTTAAGGTACAAATGTACTTTTCTGTTCCAAATGTACCTATTTTCTTGTTTAGAAGATCGAATAACTCTTTCTCCCTTTAACTTATTGAAAGCTCCACTCATTTGCGTGCAGAATGAAAGAAAACGCGCCATTTAAAAAGCTCTTGCTCTTAATACAACTTTTTGTTTTACATACAATTATAAGCAAAGAGCGCACGATTTTTAGTCATTTGCTTTTGATCCAGTTACTTTGGCTGTGCGCATGGAGTCACACTGGCTGGTGCATACTTCAGCACTGCTTGTTATTAATTACTGCGTTTTAGACGCGCTTCGTGTACGCTGTGTTTTTATTTAAGTGTCATGTTTAAGGGATTTGGCTATATTTTGTTTATTAGCAAATGTGCAATTTATGTTCCAATATTTCCATACAGAGATTTTTTCACCATATGCAAGAGACGCGTATATGAAAATATACGATTTATGTGTTTTATATGTTGCTGACACAGAGTGCAAGGGTGCTAGCAGGTATTGTGCATTTGCGTTTGATCCCGTTATTTCAGCTGTTTATTGTAAAGGAGTGAGCAGCTGTTGTGAGCGCGGAAGCTCTCTTTAGTGCTTGTGTTCATGTGCATGGCTACGTTAGTGTTGAGTGTGGCTTCTATGCAAATTTAGTTTGTGCGCCGCAGTCAAGTTGATCGGTCGTCTAGGTGGCGGGTGCTTCTTTAATTGCCTGCAGAAATGTTGTCTAAACGTGGAATTGTCTAGAGTGTGTGTTTTTATTTTAAGTGATCAAAAAGTGCAAAAGTTATAAGGTTATTCAAAAATAAGCTTTTAGTTTTTTTTTCGCGATGTGTCTATTCACTAATATATTACGGAGTAGCAAATTGCATTGAAAGAGCGGACGCCTTATAATCAAGTAAGCAAACTTTGGTTAATTGAAATCTATTTAGCATAGTTGCAAACCCAGATACAATTTGTATGTGGTTCGAGTCACGGCTTAATCTGTGTTATCTCTGTGCAAAAACCTATTTTTGAGTGTATGTACAAGGCATACTTATTAGTTTCAATTAAGTATAAGAGTTAAAATTCTTATAATTGCATTTTATACAACATTGTTCTTTATTACCTTTCCTTAAACTTATTTAAATTTGTGAAAATTTAGATATAAGAATTTGTCTTCTTAAAAACCGTAAAACTATTTAAGTATTTACAAACCTTATCTGACTGTTAATTTATATTAAAATTGAGCTTATTCTTTATAAAAGTTTCACTTAATTCAATATAATACTTAAAGTTCTTAACTTAATATATATCTAGTTCTTTACTTCATTTTTTACTTGGAACTAAATTCATGTTTTATGTCAATGTAAAACAATTTAAAAATGAGCTCAGATAATAAACAACTGGCACACAGCTCTAAATGCTTTCACTGTCAATAGAAAAAGGACAACAAGGACAGCAATCGTTGCCCTTTAGTAGACCATATGACATAACTATGTGTGAATTTATGGCATAAACCCTTTTTTGTTTTTGTTTTTTTTTTTTTGTTCGTTCAGCCCTAAACGAATCAGCGAGTGGCACCAACCAGGTCGCTTAACCCAACCCTCACAAACTTTTTCTTCATCGGGGGTTGGGGTATTTTTTTTCGATGGTCAATGGGATTTACACGCTTGCTTTCGATATACAAATAAGGGTTTGCAGCTCGCTTCCATATTGAGAAAGATGAAGTGATTTCTTATCCAACAAAATCCACTCCCGAGTGCCCAAAAAAAAAAAGAGAAAAAGGGGTTGTAAGGGTCTCTCCTTCTCAAAGGAAGTTTATTAAAAAATGGTGTGTTTGCGTTTGGCGCGTGTCCTGGCGGATGTGATTCCAATTTTTAGCTCTCTCTCTCCATGTTTTCGCTTGGCCCAAGAAATCAGTTAACTAAATATGTTGTTAAATATTTATTTAGGGAGCTTCTAATGAGATTCAAGTGTACTTAGGATCGAGCGCCTTTGCACTAAGAAATGGCACCTAATTGAATTATAAATCTAATCCAAGACGAAATCATTACGAATGATAGCAAAAAGGTAATGCTTGCTGATTTTGTTGGCATATCAATTACTTGGGCACTTATCTATCCTTAATCTGTAAAAAGCAAACCTTTGGGCTTGAGCTGAAATGTTATTTAAAAGAAAAATATTCTATTATATGATATAGCAAATAAAATGAAAATAAGAACAAAGTGAAGTCTAGAAGAAAAATTATTCAACAACTAAGTTCCCATAGTGAAGCCCATCTGCAGCCCAAGCACAGTCGCTGCGCAGCAAGCAGAGCGCGTGCTTGGCTATGTGTGTGTGAGTGAGTGTGTGCATGTACTGCTTGCAATGTATGTGTGAAAGAATTTTAGAATGATTGGAATATCACAGATTTGCAGGGTTCGGGGTATCTTCTAGTCGAACTGTATCGACTAGAGCACTCTTACTTGATAATTATTATATTCTAAAAATATATTAGATATTATAAAAATAATACCAAAATGAATTAGATTAATTTAAATCAATCAATTTAAAATGATTCCGAATATAGTTTTGATGCTATTAAATTTAAACAATTTGTTGTTAGATCTTCATTAGCAACTGTCTCTAATGATACCATGTGAAGTCTGGTAAATTTAGGGAAATTTGCAATTTGAGTAATTTCATTTGAGATCATCCTGAAGAGAAGGTCTACAAGGTCTGATTGGTTGACAGCCAAGGTTTTCTAGTCTACTACTAGTACCACTACTACTACTACTACTACTGTCTTTAGTTGTGCTTAAAGTAATATTTGACATATTAAAAGTCAAGGTTTCCAAGTTATACCCAAGATAAATAAATTTGCTCTTCAAATAAGTTTTTAAATAATTTTTATTGAATTGTTTTGTTTTGTGTTAGATCTAAGTGTTAAGATCAATTTACAATTGGACATTGTACAACAATATCTTTATGTTATATGGATAGTATGTTACATAGGTGTCTAGAGTTAATATTAAATATATATATATATCTATATAGTATGTATATATGGTATAAATAGTTGATAGATTGGCATGCTGGACACGTACATACAGACAGATATAGAGACAACAACAGTTACTGGAAATTCTACATAGATCCAATATAATGCCTATATGTAGGGGCTGCATATATATATATATATATATATATATATATATATATATATATATATATATATGTACTTGTAAATTCGTTATGGAATGCTGATACGAACGTCTATCAGGGAGGATTTTGGATACAGGGTTAATACGATATGCAGTTTTTGTTGTTTATTTTTTGCTTTTTGGATTTGGAATGTTTCGTGGAAGATTTGGAGAGCTTCACTGTCTTTATATACAAGCTGAATTAGGCTAACGCTGGATGATCTAACTCTCAATCACCAGAGCTAATGGAGCTGCCGCAATGGGATCCACCGCCGCCAGCTTCGAGCAGCATATGTCCATTGGACATATTGAGCACTTGCGGTGGATAGCCAAAGGCATGGCTGCTCAGCGGCGTGCCAGTTGGACTATCCAAGTCGAGGGAGGGATTGATGCGCTTCTCCTTCTGCCTGCGATTGCAGAACCAGACGCGCACGACTTCTTTATCCATGTGCAGGCGCTCCGACAGCTGATTTATCTCCTCCGAGGTGGGCTTGCAGTTGAGCATGAATGCCTGCTCCAAGGCACCCCTGATGGTCGTCTCTATCGAAGTGCGCTTCTTGCGTCGCCTGCCCAATATGCTCTCCGGCGTGCTGGACAAATTGGTGGTCATCGTATTGATATTGAAAACGCCGCCCGCCGACTTGGCCACACTCGAGTCGGCATCTTCCAGCCACTTCTGCAGCAGTGGCTTCAGCTTGCACATGTTCTTGAAGCTCAGATTGAGCGCTTCGAAGCGCGAGATGGTTGTCTGGGAGAAATCATTGCCGTAGAGCTTGCCCATGGCCAGGCCCACGTCGCCCTGGGTGAAGCCAAGCTTAATGCGTCGCTGCTTGAAGGTCTTGGCAAACTGTTCCAGCTCCTCTAGATCTGTAGTCTCCTCTGGTGACTGTTCCAGCTTGGTGGCCATGACAGCGGCAACGGTGGCGCCACTACTCAAAGGCTTGGGCGTCGAACTGGAAGCAGTTGTCGCCGATTGCTGCTGCTGCTGCTGCTGCATGCTGGGAGTATTTGGAGTTAGCACTGCGCTGCTCAATCCCAATCCTGCCAAGGAATTGGGCGGCGTGCGCTGCTGCGGCTCCATTTGACGGCCCACTGGACTCAGCGATGGACTGCGCAGCGGACTTTTGCTTAAGGGCGTCGAATAGTGGCGCGTGGGCAACATTTCACTAGGCATTTGCTGCACTTGCTCCCTGTCCCTTTCCACTTTGAGCTGCTGCAGCGCCTGGAATTGGGCCAACGCTTGCAGCGAATTCTGTAGCAGAAATTGCGTTGCCAAATTGGGATTGGGAAATGCATCGGGCGCCAGTTGACGCACCATTTCAATGTAGCTATGCAACTGGAGCTGTAACGCCTGCTGCATGTCCTCTGGCCCAAAGCCCAAAGGCGCTGGCAGGCCCATTGGGGGCGCGGCTGCAGCTGCTGTTGTCGCTTGTGGCTCAGGTGTTTGTTGTTCGAGGGCCAAGCGTTTGGGCGCCGGTGAGGCCAAATTTAGCACCTCATTCTCCATTTTGATGTCCAATTGATGGGACGCACGACGTTTGCTGCTCAAATTTTGAGCCACATCCTCGTCTAGCTCATCATCGTCCTCTTCCTCCTCCTCCTCTTCGTAGCTTTTACCACAGTCTGTAAAGTGGAGAAAAGGAAAGAAGTTAGTAAATTTAGATAATTATAAATATCTTATCTTATGGGCGTTATATAGAGGGGGCTAAGTGATTGATAGACTGAGTTATAAATTTAGCAACTGAACAACAGTTGAGCAGACTTGATGAACTGATTGATTGATTGATTGACTGCTTGTTTAATTATAAACTTAAATTTAAATGAATAATTTAGTAAATTTATCAACTAATCAACTCGTTACTTGGTCGACTGCTATATGCTTTCTCCAAATGGCCTGGCTAAAATATGTTCAAGCAAATCATTTGGAGCGTCCAAGGTCAGCTAACAGTCGCTTAATATTTTATGTATATTCTTTAACTAAATACATTTTATGTATATTCTTTAACTAAATATATATATATATTTTTTCAATTTTCCAACTCAATGAAGTTTGCAAGTAGCCAGAACATAGACAGCAGCAGGACAACGCACAGGACGCATAATTCGATTGCCCAACTCAAGAGGACTGCAAGACCTATCCGTGCCACGCCTCCCGTCTCTGAAAGTTTTCAATATTTTTGCTATTTTAAGGCAAATTTTATTCAATCTTCCAATTGAGTGCGCCCTCAGCTAAGTCCTTTGCCCTGTTGTCCTGCGGTTAGCTGCCGTTAGACGATAGACACTCAAGCGGAAGGGTTTTGCTTTGTGCCACGCCTTCCCCCTGCCCCCTAACTGACCCCTGCTTGCTTTACATCTATCAACTAGCCTTAAATTCAATCATGCATAATAATTGAAAAATCGCCGACAGAGAACGCAGGAAGCTTTACACAACTTTTTTGTTTTCGTTTCAAATTTTTCTTTCCAGAGATCTCAAATTTCATAATGTGTCATGAGCATATTTATTGATTTACAACCTATTGAAATCAAAGGAAGTTCCTGTAAAATAATCCATTCAAAATACCAAAACTTCAAGCGAAGATCTATCTGAGGAAATGAATTGTCTTGAAAGCAAAGAAATGTTCCATTGTGTGGGGGAAAATACAATAGAAATTGGGAAAATTGTGTGTATGAAATTTGTTGATTTTACTTTGAATAAAAAAAATATTTATAATAAAAAATAAAAATTAAAAAAAAAATTATCAAATGATAATTTTATTTTTAAAAGCATTTTTTGAACTGCATTTTCTATTAAAAAATGCTTGAGTAATAAAATTGTTTGTTTAGAAAAGGTTAAGCTGAGATGTTCATTTAATTAAATGTTCAATGGCAGTGAAACAAATGAGAATTTGAAACTAAGTACATATATATACTTAAGAAATATATAAACAATAATAAATATTTTTCTGATTTTTATTGCTTAACTTATAACTCTTGCAAGGCAATTTAAAAATATTAAAAAAAATAATTTGTTAACAATTGCTAAACAATACTTTCGAGATGAGCTTTAGTCTGTTTAAAACGATTTACTTTTATTTTTATCTCCTTTTCCTTTTGCTGTGTTAAGCAGCTTTGCCGCTTTGTTCAGTACCGTTAACAGGATTAAAACTTTGATTTTAAATGCGGGTGGCCTCAGGGTAGGGAAAACTTTTGATATGTGGGCAGCTGTTTTTATGACTTATGTTTCGCCTAATATAATTAGCAGAAATGCAGTCGACTCTATAAAAAAAGTCACATAGTTAGATAAGGGTTAAAAACCCCAACCCACCCGCTGATTGTAAAATTTGCCAACCCCCTGGCTGGAACTTTCCTATGTTTTTTCTTTTCCACTTTTCGTTTGTTACAATTGGCAAAAGGCAAAGGATTTCCATTTTTGATTTTTAGTTTTGGTTCGGGGTGAAGTTCAAATGCAACTTGCGATTGGCAAAAAGGGTTTGAAGCTACCAAAAAACAATAGCGGCTGCTGCGTTGCATTGTGTTGCATGTGGCAAGTCAAGAAGCTGCAGGCGAGAAATAAACTATTGTGACTATGGCCGGAGATCCAGCAGCGAAAACTGAAAAATGGAAATCGAGTAAAGCGAATACCGAACCTGATGCCAGGTGCTGTGCAGCAGATGTGTGTGTTGCATGCCCCTTGTTGTTGCAACAATGTGGAAATGTGTGAATGTGCGTGTGTTGCACTGACAAATGAAGTGCTGCCCCTGGCTCTCTCCTATGCTCTTGCATCGCTCGCTTTAGGGGTTGCTTGACACATGGGGCAAACTGTGCGTGTTGCGATTTATGGGAAAGATATAACAGCTCGGCATATAAATATTCGCAAAACTATCCAATTATGCAGACTATCTAGCTGAAGATAACACTTCAATTTGTGAATATGAAAAGAATTCTTTGCAGTTTTTATCGAATATTTAAATCTAATGTTTATAGAAAAATGTGAAAGGGAGTGTGAGTATTTAATAAATATGCTAATGAAATGCAAATCAATGAAGGAACTTAAGTTTCTCAAAATAAATAATATATCACTATATATCAACCAAATTATATATATGTATATATAGATTATTTTTATAAAATTTGAATAAGAAATAATAAACAATTATTATATATTACTATATTTATTCATATGCAAATTGGTATTTGTTTAATTTGCTATAATAAAATTGTAAAATATATATTATATTTAAAACTTATATTAAGTTGTTTAAATTTGTTTTCCAAATAATTTAGCAATAATATTTATTTAGCAATAAATATTTTAACAACAGTTTTTATGAATTCATTTGCCATAACCTTTTATAATAATTATTATTATTTTTATTTATTTTTTTTTTAATTTTAAAAACTTTGTCTTCTTTTATAAAACTATATAAATTGAGAAATTTAATAATTGAAACCAAATAGAAAACAAAATTCAACTAGCTTTTTCTAGCAAATATGCCTCAAGTTTCTTCTCTATCTATTTAAAATAATATTCTTCTAGCTCTCATATGTTATCTAAGCCTTATTGTTGATAGTATGACTCACTTTTTGCTATAGGCCCTAAGCACTTCTACTCAACATCTTCTGCCTAACTAAATTACCTCTTTGACTTCGCTGCCACTTCAACACTTTCGAACCTTTAAAGTACCGTAAAACCACAAATAAAAAAGTAAGCGAAACGCCCTCGTAACGCCCCAAAGTCAATCTCATGAAATGCACCCAATCCAAATAAAAAGAGTGAGAAGAAAACGGAACCGCTGATTATTATAAAGCGAGTCACAAATTACCCTATCACAAAAAAAGGATGCCTAAACAATTAGCAACACGCAGGCAAATCCTTTGGGTAACAGAAAGAGGAAGTGGGGCGTTGCACAATTTGAATAACAGTCAACAAGTAGCACTTGAAAAGCCGCGTAATTCCGCTTTCAAATTCGAGGGTTAGGGTTGAAAAGGACAGAGACTGGAACCCTTCCACAAAAAACACGCAATTTGCCACACGCTTGACACCTCGTTTGCTATTCAAATGAGATGTTAAACAGGCGGGCAGGCAGCCAGGAAGATGCGCAACAGTTGATTGGCTTAACCCTAGCCTCACACTTGGGCCAACCCCAAATTCACCTTTTTTATATTCAAATATATGCCACAACCCCTTTTTTAAGGGTTTGTTGTTGCTGTTGTGACATATTTGAATAAAGCGCGTCGCGTTAATTTGTGTAAACCAATAAAAATGCAAAATTAATTGTCAGTTGATGATATGGCAACCCTGTTGCAACTATTTAAATGAGGGTTGTCGCATCGGAATGAGTGCTTGGGGTGGATTGATGCATGTTTTTGCATAGATTAGCTGCGCTTTGTTAAGCAGAGAGGAGAGAGGCTAGAGGGTAGGGGCTAAAGGTCAGCAGTTAGGGGCGAGCCTCTCTTATATAATTGCGCGCAACAATAAAATTCAAATGCGCAGTTCTGAAATTTACATTCTGACAAATTGTTATTTTTATTTTGTGTTTGCTAAAAGGGCGAACAAGAGGCAGAGAGAGAGTGGAGGATGGAGAGGGCGAGCGGGTCAGGCGGGTGTACAATGGGGTCAAAAGTGTCTTGGTGTGTGTGTGTGTAAATAACCTTTTGCATATGCCGTGAGGGTTGTTATGTTTTCAAAACTATTCAACATTTGCAAATTTGACAGGGTTGTTTCCAAGTTGTGGGTGGAAGGACATTATAACATCAATATATATGTGCATTAGGAATGATCAGAGTTTTTGCTTTGCTTCGGGGAGATGACAACTAAAATGAAACAGCTGGAAAATACTCTGTAGGGTTCTATAATAAAACTGTTGGCATACTATTTGGTTCAATCAATTTTAAAGATAGACGTGGTAGAACCATTGGTCTTATAATAAAAATCGAATAGAAATTCGAATAGAAATTTTAGATGCTTTAAAAGGTTCTCCAAAAATTGTTCTAATAGGTTCTTCCAGCTATAAAAGGGGTATATAATATATATCATATAATATATAATATAATATATTTAAAACATAATCAAATGAGGTCTTAAGATTCCAATGCGACTAGGATATTCATTGATTAGAATTTTATAAATTATTTAAATATTCATTTAAAGCATAATCTATTTGGATTTCAAAATTTTCTATAAAAAGAGTTCAATTTTGTTAGGTATTTAATATATTTATATAGAAATATATTTTTACTTCAACTACTTCATTCAGTTTTATTTTTTCATTTGCTCGAATGTCAGTCTATCGAAGCACCTATGTCCTTAAATATTTTTGCAAGCCGCACTTTAGTCACGTGCGTGGCTCTACCTAAGCCACAAGCCTCGAGCTAACTGCCACGCTCAGAGCTCGAGCTGAACCTCAGGCGCATCCTCAAACATAGAACTTGGGGGTTGCCTTTGTTGTTGTTGCTGTTGCATATCCTTTTGCAAAAACTATAAAATTGTTGCCCTACCCTCTCTCTATGAAGAGACATCAATAAATTGGCTACGTAGCTCGTGTGAGTAATCAATTTGGCCACAAAGTAGCCACGTTCCACGTTTCACGTTCGAATATCCCTACAACCTAACCAGAAGGGAGACCCTTCTTTATATTATTTTTTTTGGTGCATGTTTGATGTATGTTAGCAAAGGATTAGGCGCATACCTGATAGAGATCGCAGGGGAGATGGCGGTGTCGGTGAGTTTGACATGTGTCGCATAACTGCAAAGAAATGAAATGGAGAAAAAAACATTTAAATTTCAATTTCAATTCTTGAATGTGAGGGGAATTACAACTAATTTGGATATATTTAAGAGTAATCAAATAGAAAAGTGGAATGGAAATGGAACAAAGACGCGTCCACATGTAACTATATACAATATGTCTATTTATCAAGATATTATAGAATATTATGTATGGATTACAAGTTGTGCTGTGCATAGATATATTATTTAGCTGCGTCTAAGTTTATTGATCGATAACACTTTAGAGTTGTATCGAAAACTAGTTAAGCCGTATTCAGTTATCTATAGCAACTTAATTTTGTGATAAGTTCCTCGATAATTATCTTAGTTTATTGCTTGCATCTTGATGCAGCATCTTGATTCAGCATCTTGATTCAGCATCTTGATTCAGCCTTTCAGTTGACATCGATAACTGAGCTTTTCTTATCGATTATTTAGCCACTGCCAAATGCAAATGTCACGTCTTTGCAGTTCTCGTTTGCATTCGTTTCCTGTATTTCAATTCACTTTTTGGGGGTTGCGTTGGCTGTCTGTTTCTGGCGAGTGTCTCAGACAGACACACATGCAAACACACGTACACACACTCACACACACACCCACAAAGACTCGGTCATCGCTTGTCCATTTGGTCTGCTTTGGCCACTTGGCTCGTAAAATGTCCATTAGTATTTACGGTGCTTCGTTTTAGCGTAACATGCAAAAATATCTGCTGTCCATTGATGTCCTTTGCGTGGTTGGGTGGCTGGCGTTGTAAACTTTTTAAGAGCTCCTTCAGCTCCAAATGACCAGCGACAGCTCAGCGATGAAATCAGCATGAAGTTCGATTCAACTTGAAACACTTGGACTTAGTTGATTCTTAAAGCTTAAATTGGACTTTTGGCGCAGTTAAGATTATATTAAATAATATATACGTTTCTCTTATATCAGGCCTTTATATAGTAGTCTAAATACTGAGTGACTACTGTACCTGTTTTTTGTTATCTTCATGCAGAATAGCTTATGAGCGCATTATCATATCAAACCCTAACATAAACGGCTTTGCCACAGTCTATGCAAAGTCCTACACACACACACACACACTCATGCAGAGAGTACTTTAAATACACACATATGTGCAGAAGGCAAAAGTCTGCGTTGTAGCGTTAGCCTTCGTCGATGTCCAGTCCAGTCAATGGTCGAGTTTTTTGTGTTGCAAAGTAGATATGATATTTATAGCTCCCCCGGGGCGTAAGCAAAGTGTGGCAGCCAGAAAACACACAGAGCAGGGGCAGAAAAGGCGACATATTTTTACGACAATATATGGCAGAAGAAATGTTTTGGAATCCTTGTGCATAATACTTCAGCTTGACATTATAAATATACAGATTACCTCAAAGGACATTCACGTAATGGATTCTGTGGAGTCCATTTTGTCAATGCCAGCGCGCTGATCTGCATGTTATAGCCAAAAGTCTTAGCAACATATTGAAAGCGGGTAAACAGAGGATGCTGTTTCTGCTTAAAGGAAGAAGAAAGCGTATTAAAAAACTCATGAGACTAGGTTATTAAAACTAGTCTGTCTGTTTAGCTTAAGTTAGATATTTGATGTCTTAAATTGAAATTAATTTTAGGGACCTACAGATCAAGTTAAATTTACTTTCATTAAATCGATATAAATCGATATCAAACTTAAGTAATTAGAACATATCTCGCTTGTCTTAGGAGCAACTATCAATGCTATATAGATATAGTATATTTGGACTACACATCCTTAGTTATAACTAGACATCTTAAAATATGAGCCCGCTACAGGATATCTTCAAGTCGAGCAAATCCTGCTAAGGCAATCTTACTTGTTATTTCTGTATTTTTTTCATGCAATTAAGAAGGCAAAAAAGGCAACGGCACATTATCCTTGCCACGGCTTAAATGTAATTACACAAAATTTGGCTTTTGTGGCTAGTTTTGTATTTTCTTTATGACTAGGAAAATTAAGGGAAAATTTGAGAAATTGCACGCCTCAGTCTTAGGAGCTCGGAAAAAGGCGCTGCTCCTTTTTTTTTGTATTTTTTACCTTTACGCTTCCCTCTTTTTTTAAGGACATATGCCTGACGTTTTTTCGTTTGCGTTGTGTGCATGCAAAATACCTGAGACAGGGCTTGTTCGAACAGGTAAAAAAGGACAACGGTCATGCAGGGCTCGCCGTCCAGGATGCAAATATAAAGAAACAAAACAAATGATCACACGCACTGTGGGGTTGCCAAACGGAGCGGCATCTGCCGCAGCAGGAGTTGCAGCGGCAGGACATCTCATGATGCCAAATCAAAACTATAGCAAAATGCCATGAAATCGAAGATCCTGATATGGAAATTGAAATTCTATGCCTCAGCCTATTGTGTGGGCGTGCTTCGCTTACAATCAGATCATGCGGCATTCCAGTTGTATTCAAAAAAAAGTGAAAAGTGAAAGTCGCAGGTAAAGCGATGTCAAGAAGAAGAACATTAGAATTGTCTTATTATTGTTTACTGAGCCTTAAAAAAAACGTTGGAAAAGTTTATGTGTTTATAGGAATTATATGTATGCTTTATATATATACGAACAGGCTAAACATCTTGGATTTGACAACTTGAGCCCTACAATTTTTTTCATATAATTAATTTATATATTATAAGTATTCACAGCTTTAAAATATAAAAGTCAAACTTTACTCTTTAGAAACGAGTTCCAGCTTTTTTTAATGTAATGCTGATTCTAAAAAGCTTTAATGGGGAATCATAAAGCTTACAAGGCTTTAGAAAACTTCATGCATTACAAAAGCTTTTAATATTTAAATTAACTTTTTTTATATAATAAAAAATTGATATTATTTTGTTACTTTTCTGTATCTCATGTTTCAATTTTAAATTTTATTATGTTTTTATGTTATTTTTGCTTCATAATAAAAACTTGAATATTTTAATATATTATTATTTGTATTTAAATTTAATTTCGATATAGCCAAACAAATGTTTCCTTATCAACACTTAACGGTAAATCTAGCCAAAGAACGAGTCAAGCTAAGCTTTACAGCAGAAGCTGGCAACACAAGCTTTTCGACAAGCTTTGCCTAGTTCGACTGTATGGCAACGCCGTTACAATTTTGTAGCTGTGATAATTTAGATAAAGGTTTGAATATTGTTTCCTACATGCGTGTCTTGTGTCTTCGTGATCCTTGCGCTGAATTAGCCGAACGCCTCGCCGTTTGGCAGCCGCAGCTGCAGCATCCAAATCCAATTTGTTACTGCCTTCTGCTGCCGCCTCTGTCGATGTTGTCGTTGTTGTTGCAGCTGGGGATCCTGTTGTTGTTGGTGCTTTGGTAGCATCCCACAAACGGCGCTGTTGCTGCTGCTGTAGCAACATCATTTTCTTTGCGGTTTTTTCACTTTTTTTGTTTGGTAAGTTTTTTATGCATTCACAAAATGTAAGAAAATTTAAATTCACTTTGCACTGGCTTTCGTTTATATATGTAAATGCGATTGTTCTGTCAAAAAGTTTTTGCAAGTCACAGCGAATGCGCGTTCAGAGTTGCCAACTACTTTTGTATAAAGTCACTATTTAAGTAGTATGAAAAACAATAACAAATTGCGGCGTTTGCGCTGCGACTGCAACTGCGTTGGCGAGTGCGACCAAAAAATGAGCCGAACCGAGTTCGTTCGCTTGCCGAATGCAACTGAAACGACGAAGTAAGCGACAAACGGTACAAAGTGCTGTCGCTGCCACTGCAGTTGCCTGCGTTGGACTGTTTGTGCGCGTTTGTGTGTGTGTTTGAGTGCATGCTTTATGATTTGCAGCAGCACTCGCTGTAGTTGGTTTTTTTCTCCTTTTGCCTAGTTTCTTTGTTGCCTTTTCCCACTCACTCACTCTCTGGCACACATTTGCTTACAGCATTGCGCTCATATGTTTGTACTCAAGCAGTTATCAACCCTGCACCGTTAGAGTTGAGTTGAGTTACTTAGAGCGTGAGCATAAGAATGAGTGTGAGTGAGTATGTGTGGAACGTATTCAGCAGTGGCTGCCTGCATTCTGATTAGACTTTGTGTTGTCATTGTCCCGTTGCATACCTACCCCTGCGCAGCACTTGGTATGCATTAGCATAGCGTTTGAGTGAAATGGGTGTGGCCAATGCGCTCGCTCTATATGCATACACACTAATGCACATATACATGTGCATGTGCAGTTTGAGCAGCTCTGCGGTGCTGCGCAGTTGCCGTTAAATATTTCTTTTTGCATATTTCGTTTGCTTTCTTTCATTGCACTCAAGTACATGGATCATAATTGAGGTTGTGTGTATGTGTGTGTGAGCGCACATAAAGGTGTTTGAGCTTATTGGGTGACTTTACATGGAGCATGCTTATGTGTGAGTATGTATTGGTATATAAATGCTGGAAATTGAGCAAAATGCAGATGCATGTAAATGTGTATGTGTGTGTACTTCGTGAATTTTTATTATATATAAACACTAAAGCCCATTCAGAGCTTCGAACTTAGGGAATAATTACAACAAGTGTAGCACTCATTGTTGTTGTTTTTCTGCTTCTGCTTTGGCATTTCTATATATAAAAGTTGTTGTGGAGTGGGAGGTGTAAAAACTTTTTGCATCACTGCAAAATAGTAGCAGCGCGAAAGCATTTGCCACTTGCCACCGACTTGCTATGTGTGCCCCAGGAAGCAGCTCGATGTAGAGCAGGGAAGTGGCGTATGCAGGGTCCTTGAGAATGGGGAAGTATTGGGTTAGGGTAAGTCGCCGATAGAAAGGTGTGGGTGGTTCTTCGTTGACAGCGAATACATTTTATGATTATGAGTGGGCAGCAAAAGGACTGCAACTTGGATTCCAGCAACGGCTGCGGCTTTTGTTTACGAAAACACAGGGCGGCAGAACGACTACAAGATACTCTGCAGATAATACTGATGTCCTGGTAGAGAATAGTTAAGCAGTATGTTCAGGGCTCTCAGAAAACATATATATATGCAGGCGAATATGTTCAACTGGAAAATACCCTGTAATTGATTTGAATGCCCATACTATAAACAACTTGGATACCTTTAGGTAGTTATATATACATTGATCTAAGCTCTCTAAAAGGCAATGTATGCAAAACAGTTACAGGGTATCTTCTATCTTATATCGATGTTTCTAATCTTAATCATTTATAGAATATCCACAAACACTCAATCAAGAATATATATGTATGCATGTACTATGCATATGTACCCACTGTCCAAACTGTACAGGGTATATAGAAAGCGAGAAGAAAGATGTGTAGGATATGCGTCCCGCTTCTTGTTTGTGTGGTGCAAAATGTTTTAATTAAAACTGCAAAATTAATGTTGATGCAGCATATGAAAGACCGCAGGACAAGCAGCCCCTTTCTCTCTCTCTATCTCTCTCCCACACTTTGTACGTCTCTCTTCCATTCTCATTAAAGTGCCAAAATGATTTAAGTGGGAAAGTACACAAAAATGCGCTTCGGGAAAATCAATAGGAAAATCTGCGGCCCCTTTTATGCGCTCAAAGGAAAAGCTGAATGGCTTGCCAACTAATTTCAATAGTTATCCTTTTGACTGCTGTCCCGCACGAGTTCTGCAATGTCCTTCTCCACGTAGCCTGATTAAATTGTCACGGAATGAAACAAAAGATAAACAATCTGCAGTCGCTTGCGAAGTCCAATTTGATTATTTGCCAAAAACAGACAGAGAAAAGACAGCTAGCAAACGGACAGGGGGAGTGGGGGAGAACGAGGAGGGCTGCGAGAGACAGACACATGTAAATATGCCACACACAAAGGGGGCAGCAACAAAGTTTTTGCTTGAACATTGAAATTAATCAAGAAACTAAACGCTTGGCAGCATCGAACCAAAAAGGGGACGACGCACTTTGCATGAAAAACGTGCAGCCCCTGGCAGCAGGAAATTCAGTGGTTGGCTCGCTTGAGTCCTTGTTGCTATTGTTGTTGTTCTTGTTGCATTAAAATGACATCCCAATTTGCGTTAAGCAAATAAAATGGGACTAGTTGAGACTAGTTCGTATTCGTCTTCTTCCACCTCGATTGCTTCTTTCAATCTAGGGTTGTGGCTGTGTCTGAAGCTTGCTTTAATTTGTTGTTTTATTTTGGCTTGAAGAGCTATGAGAAATTCGAGAGAGTATTTCAACATTAAAGTTTAAAAATAAATAAAAAAAACATTTAATATATGTTTAAAAACATAAAAAAATAATACAAGCTTTATAAGTCTTTAAAAAATATTTAAACAATATAAAAATGAAAATTTAGCAAATGATTATAATTAAAAATTTTATTTTTTAATCATTTTTGCACTATTTAGCTTTAAGCGAAATTGCACTTAAATAATTCTATACACAACTATAAAACTAATTTTAAAAAATTTAGAATATGTTTAAAAAATAATAAAAATGATATATCTCAACAAAAATATTTAAATAATATAAATAAAAAAATTTAAATTTAGCAAATAATTATTATTAAATTATTATGTTATAAAAATCTCATACAAACTTCGCTTCTTTAGACAACAATATTTTACTTTCAATACTCCTTTTCGCAATTTCAACTTATATTCACTTTCTCTCTTAACTAGGAAACTAATTGAACGACTTTAACCCGCTCAACATTTGCCCAACTGCTGATAAATTCGCGCCAAAAGTAAGTGAACAAATCAGGCCTTTTCGATAGCAAGTCAAAGGCAAACCCCAAATCAATGCTTAACGGAAATGCCGCGAGCACAAAAAAACAGCCTTCAAAATAAAGCGAAAAAAGCAAAGAAAGAAAGAAAGAATAAATTGTCCCTTTACTTCCGCATTTTAAGCGCCGTCTTTAGGCTTCTTCCTCTTCCTTCAAGACTGTTCCATTCTTTTCTGTGATATTTATTAACGTTTATTGAATTCGATTCAGCCACAAAAAAAAAACAGAACAACAAAATTGCTGTCAAATGCAACCCTTCGAACGAAAAATCCGTTGCATTTTCCTTGATTTTTATTGAAAAATGCGTAGCGAAAATTTTTTTCCTTTTCCTTTATTTTGGGCAAGAAAATAGGTAAAAAAAATGTGAAAAGAAACTCAAGGGTAAAAATTGAGGATCATTGTCAAGGATTACCAAAGATCTTGCACAGCTTAGCTGCAGAGCAAACGCACTTGTACACACACACACACACGCACACACACACACTATATATCTCTCTTCACTAGGGCGCAGCAGTCTCTAGCAACCCCTATACTCGGTCAATAATGCGCAATTTTTTAATGTAAAAAAATGTGAAATTTAAAAATAGGCAAAAATTGAAATTTTTTTGGGTTCGAACAATGCAATTTTTTTACTTGCTTTGGGTGATTTTGTTCGGTCTTCTTATTTTTCTATGGCTTGATAGTAGGGTGCGAGGGTAAGTAAGAAAGGTAGATTTGATTAACTAGGGTTTTGTCTGTTAAGCATCTAACGGAATTTTTGAGAAATTTTCTCACCATTTCGAAAAGATTTTGAAGTTATATAAGATTTTTTAACAACCCTTTGGAGATTTATTACAAAATATATAATATGTATATATATATATATATAATATATTAAGAAATATAAGTTACATAAGATATATGTGTGAATTTCCCAAGCTTAGGAGCAGACATTTTGTTTTAGCAACCCTTTATGCAAATTTCACCCTTAGAATTAGGAAGCCATTACGTAGGCCATTTTTTTAAATGATTAAAAGAGTCTTATTGAAATAAAAAATTTGTTTTGAAAATATTGTACAAGCAATATAAAAGAATTACTTGCATAAACAAATTTTTTTAATTATATTTTTATTTAGAACTTAATAAATATCAAAAAGAAATTAAAAGTATTTTTATTCAGAAAATAAAAAAGTTCATTAAAAAAATTAATTATATTTTCGTTACCAACCACTTATGCAAATGACATTAAAAAATAATATATATAAAAATAATTTATTTATATATGTAAATCTTAAAAAAAAGTATTTATAAAAAAGTGCGCATAAAATCTGTTGAGCTGCTAAACCAAATGGGATTCATGATCTTTGCTTTACAGCTTGTAAAGCGGTTTTATTGGATTTGCCCGCACCACCCACTGTGACTTGGGGGTGGGTGCGTTCAATTGGCCATAAGCTGCTCAGGACCTGCACGCGGCACAGTTGGCATTGACACCCGCGTGAGCTTTTCTATTTTTTTTTAAGATTTTTTTTAGGGTGCGTAGCATGTCAAAGGTTAGCTCATGCAATTGTGGTTCAATTTCAGTGTGTTTTTTACTTGCTGGCGCCCCAGGCAGACTTAGCCACAAGCCACCCGCTGCCCAACAGTCATTCAACCAGCCAACCACCCAATGAAAAGTGGTTTTAAATTCCATTAAATAAAGTTGTTCAAGGTTTAGTTGCTCGCACTTGAGAATTTTCACGCATATTTCGTTGCGCACTATTGTAAAATTTATTAATATTTTAGTGATT